AGGAACCCGTGTGTGAGTAAGTTGTGTGTGAGGAAGTTGTGTGTGTGTGAGGTGTGTGTGTGTAACATCTGAATAGATGTAAAACTTCTCTCTTTTTCTTCCTTCTGTCCTCTCCCCTTTTTAAACCTAATGCAGGGGGCCTGAGGCTTCTCAACAGGACTCAGGCCAACGAAGACGCCTGTTGAGAAGTGTGAAATCATTCTGGGACGCCAGGATGACGTACCTGCATTTTCTGACATAGCAAGGGGCCAAGCTCAGAACCCCAAACACTATAGTTTTATTTCTTCACGGTTGCCACAATCTGTTTTTGATGCATCAGAACCTTCCTCAGTATTTTCGCCGAGATCATGTCGCCGATTGTATTTTCGATTATTTGGATTATTTCGCCGATTGTATTTTCGATTATTTGGATTATTTCGCCGACTATGTCGCCGATGTATTTGGAATATTTTGCTGAAGATTGTGGACGTGGAAACTAGTCAGGATCAGATTTGCATGTTTCAGTATTCAGTTCCTGCCGGATCATATAATGATCCATTCTTGTCTAGTGTGATTTCCATGGTGGCTCCGACATGGTGCCATGGAGCCATTTGAGGCAACCCTCTTTAGGGTGAGTGATGACTGTCCTGACTGCCGAATTAACACATTTTAAGTTGGTAATTCGTTTAAGTAAAGTGCAACAGCTGGCCTTTCCGTTTTGCACCACTTTCTGAGTGTCCCGCTGATCCTGCGGTCCCTTGTGAAACCTCGTGGAATACACCTCTGTGACTGTGAAGCCGTGCTGAACATTCAGAAACCTCCTTTTTTGCAGCAATGTCACAGCGACACAGCATCATGCCATGACAAAGGAACCAGGCAGGCACACGACTTCCAGGTGTGGTCCTCTTTCTTTTGATGGTTATCTGGTGAGGTGAAACATATCGTGCACCTAATTCGCTGGAACTTGAAAGCCGTTATATGCCCTTGTGGCTGACTTGAACACGGGCCTGGATTGGCACAACGCACGACCTTTAGGTTTAGGAACTGAATCCTGTTTTTAATTAATTGTTTTGGTTTTCCTGTCTGTCATCAACTAGTCCCCAATTTGGTCCCTAATTTCCCCGCGTGCCTCTCCGTAATGTGTCGTGGGGTTTAGGTGTGTGCGCTGGTTTGGTCAGGTCCGTTTCGCCGTGTAGGTTGGTTCCGGAGGTCCGTCTGTTCCCCTCCCCCCCCTGCGCTGTTTTTGGCCTTTTGCCCTTCGTGTGTCCGCTTTTTTCTTCCTCTTGCCTTTCAGGGTTGACCCGGCTCTGGCCGGGTGTGTGTGTGTAACATCTGAATAGATGCAAAACTTCTCTCTTTTTCTTCCTTCTGTCCTCTCCCCTTTTTAAACCTAATGCAGGGGGCCTGAGGCTTCTCAACAGGACTCAGGCCAACGAAGACGCCTGTTGAGAAGTGTGAAATCATTCTGGGACGCCAGGATGACGTACCTGCATTTTCTGACATAGCAAGGGGCCAAGCTCAGAACCCCAAACACTATAGTTTTATTTCTTCACGGTTGCCACAATCTGTTTTTGATGCATCAGAACCTTCCTCAGTATTTTCGCCGAGATCATGTCGCCGATTGTATATTCGATTATTTGGATTATTTCGCCGATTGTATTTTCGATTATTTGGATTATTTCGCCGACTATGTCGCCGATGTATTTGGAATATTTTGCTGAAGATCGTGGACGTGGAAACTATTCAGGATCAGATTTGCATGTTTCAGGATTCAGTTCCTGCCGGATCATATAATGATCCATTCTTGTCTAGTGTGTGGACCATGAGCAACAAATGTTGTAGCGGGACGGGGAAGGAAGGAAAGACAAAGGAGGTGGTGAAGGATCGAGAAGTTAAAAGAGTGGGACAAAGTTGTATGTGAAAGACCGTGTGTGACAAAGGAAGATGGCGTGTGAAAAGATGGTATGTATGTATGTATGTATGTATGTATGTATGTATGTATGTAATGTATGTATGTATGTATGTATGTATGTATGTATGCATTTATGTCTGTATGTAATGTTCTGCACTATGCAACCGCAAATTTTGCAAACTCTTTCTGCATGCCTTGTGGCTGTAATCATCCCTACCGGGAAGGAAGGAAAGACAAAGGAGGTGGTGAAGGATCGAAAAGTATGTGAAAGATGGTATGTGAGAAAGAAAGATGGTGTGTGTGAAAAGATGGTTCGTATCTATGTATGTATGCATGTATGTATGTATGTATGTATGCACGCATGCATGTATGCATGTATGGGCCGCAAGCACGCTTTTTTTCCCCCACGAGCGGAGGCGGCGGCGTGTGCGTGATGATAACGGAAAGGTACCTGGCCACATGAAAGATCGAAGGAAACAAGCAGAAACGCAAAGAATATTTTTGCAAAAACACCGAACATAGGAGCAGAAGCGACAGGTGAGGGGCACAGTTCACGGTGGATAGGCTGTGACCACTGCTTCCGAACATGATGTTCAGCAACGGCAGCATCTGCGCGATGAAGTCGGTACCTGGCAGAACAATACAAAACAACGGGCTGTCATTCCTGTCAAGAAGCGGTGACCATGAAGACTGTCAGTTTCAGAACCACAGACTGATAACAGACACCTGAGCATAGTCAACTGCAACAGTACTAGCAAAGATCACGACGCACCAGAGAGCTGGATCTGCGCGATGAAGTCGGTACCTGGCAGCAAACGCTTTCACCAGACGTGCCGCTCGACAGCATCGTTCACGCGTGCGCACATGCAATGTCATTTGGCAGCCGTTTTTCTTCGGCACTAAGCGCGATATCAAAATTGTAGCAGCGACGTCCGATTTTCGCACGGCGCGGCAATCTCGTCGCGTACACCGAAGAGCCAAGAGCCGCTAGCAGCGACAAGGAATCTTCGCACAGCGCAGCAATCCAGTCGCGTGCGCCGCAGGGCCGGTAACAGCGACGATAGATTTTCGCACGGCGTGTCAATCGCACGGCTGCTTCTTACGCGGCATCCTCCGTCATCGACGTCTCCTCCGGCGCTGCCTCCATGACGCTTGCAAGCCGCTTCATGGGAGTCCATGCCTGGTCGTAGGTCAGTGTTTGTGGGCTTTTGACCTCAGATTGATAGATCCGCAGCATGAAGTTCTTGACTCCCCTCCACACGATGTGCTTCCACGGGCACGTGCCACAGCATGCTCCATTCGCTACCATCTGAGGTGTGAGCAAGCACCACGAAATGCGCCTCGCCCACGTTGCCTCGCAGCATCCATGCCACCGCCGATGCAGGGCCAGCGCAACGCAGCTTCACCCGGCTCGGCGCACCTGTGGCAGCCGGGGCAGACAATAAGCAATCCACGGAGTGCTTGACGCGCATGGCCGACGTGGACGTGTTGTCCTGCTGCAGAGCTTCCTCGTCGGGGAGCTGCACGTCATTGAAGGCCACCAAGCATCTGACAAAGCTAGCTTCCACGTCATCCACCGAAATCAATCCAAGCTGGGCATCCCCCTGCAACGTCTCCCATGGCGCCACTGGGCAACCGTTGTTCATCTGGCAATGGGACACTTTCCTGTTCAGGGCTTCAGGTGCGACAACAGCTTCAGCTCGGTTGGCACGCAGACAAGGCGTCAGGTGTCGACATTCCAACTCCAATGTCTGCTGGTAATCATTCTCCCGGAAGGTGAAGCGACACAGCCACTGCGCAGCGCGAAAGAGATCACGGAGTTGCGCACGCACCGGCTGCGTATCTTGGACTCCCTCCGGGCAGAGCAGCATCCATGTCAGCGGCCGCTCGCAGGACCAGCTCGTGGTAGAGGACGACAGTGCACTGGTAGTTGGAATCGGCCAAAGTCAACCGCAAAGCGAAGCGCCTCTCTGTGCCTTCGGTAGGGTGCACCTGGTCACACGGGGGGATGACCCATACTTAAATAGTTCACAACCTGTCTATATATTGATGCGTGAGCACGCGTGCGCATGTGTGCGGCGATGTAAACGTGCACCACGCCTCGCACGGAGCTGCTTTCTTGCATTTGACACAAGAATCGATGAGCCAACTGATCGGTATCGCTCTTCACGGAGGAGATGCCAAGCACCTGCAGGCCCACCACCTCAAAGACCGTCTCCAACTTCCGCAGCTGTCCTGGTACTATAGCTCCCACCAAACTGCTCAGCGACGATGGCGTGGCCCTGCAACCGATCCAATCCTTCACAGGAATCTCCGTCAGCATGCGGCAATTGTCTTTGTGTGCCAGCTCGCCTTTCCTGACATCCGCTCAAAAGCAGCCACATGAAACAAAAACAAAAAATCAAAAACCTAAAACGAAAATCAACCGTTTAAACAACGCGCACACACACACACTGCGGCCCAAGCACAGCACTGCGGCCACTTCCGGTGAACACGGCAGGATCACGCCAGCTGCCGATTTCCCATGAGTTCTCGTCCTTGCGTTTGCTGATCAGAACCTGATGAGACAAGTGCCGGCCTCCTGCTCCGCCCGTTCCTGTGCCTGCTCATGCCAGAAAGAGCACCGGACGCGGGTTGCGCCCTGCTGCACAATGGCATGGCACACCATTGCCGGGCCATCAGCAGTTCACTCTGCCACCCGCCACAGGGTTCAAATTGAAAACTAACACATCAGTTTTCGGACGGTGCTCGTTGAAGTATGTGCGCATCAGCTCGGTCACCGTGACCATGCGCCGACCAAACACAATGTTCGGCGTGTCCAAGTGGTGCATGACATCTGGTCCATGAGCGCAGCGTTCCAGCAACAGCTCGCACGCTTCTCCCGCGTCGGCACCAGCTTCTGCCGTCAGCTTGTAGTCATGCGTCGCATACAGCTGCGCAAGCAACCGAAAAGGAGCAACGTAATCCCACTTCTTGTTGCCCAGCTGCACCAAGACATCATTCACCATGCCTCCAACCATCGAATCCTCTGTGAAGGTATGCTGTAACGGCCCACAAAAATAAAAGCACTGTAGCACCGAGTTCAGCCAACAGCTGTTTCGCAAATTCTTCAAACCTGTATGTAGTACAGGTTCAGAGAAACCAGTGTCCCCAGTGGTCGCGACAATTGGTCCAACATATCGTTCCTCTCCAAAAGCAACTGCCCCGCACTGGACTCCGACACAGCTTTCACATCTTCATAAGCAGACACCAACAGCTGGACAGATGCAAGTGCAAAAGAATAGTCCCTTTCAGAGTCCACATTTCTCGCACGTCGAGCGCGCTTCCCAGGCTGCTGCAGGGCTAGGCAGTTGCGCATTTCTGCAAGCACCACTTCCTTGAAGCGCGCGTCTCGCTCACGAGCGGCGCCAACCTCTGCAACCTGCTGGTGCAAACGCGCATTTTGCAACTCTGCTGTCGACATGTGCTGAAGTCCTGTGAGACGGAGACAATCTTTCTCTGCTTCACCTTTTAATTGCCTGGTCGGACCGCGCACTTTCTCCTTGCCGACGGTCATGCGCACCCGCCAACCCGAACCATGCTTTGCCACAGAAGCAAGCAACAAGCAAGTCAGCCGGTCATGAACTTCTTGCAAGCGCTCAATGGAGACCGCTGCCGCCTCTTCCAGTTGCTGCGCATCTTCGTTTGCAGCTGCCTCAGTGTTGCGGATAGGCCCATTGAACGTCTTAGTGCCCATCTTGCGGCGCGCCCGCCAGCCATTGCAGATTTTCTGTACAGGCACGCCAGTAAGCCGATCATGTACTTCACTTGCAAACGTTCCATAGAAACGGCTGCCGCCGCATCCAATTCATGCGCATCTTCGATTGCAGCCGCCTCGGTTGCGCGGGTGGGTCCATGGAACGTCTTGCTGCCCTTCTTGCGACGAGCTCGCCAGCCATTGCCTCTTTTCTGCAGAGGCATATCTTTCTACAACCTACGATCCGGCAATTTCTTCCCACGGCGGCTCACAACAGCCGGATCAGACCGCTACGTTCGCAGCTCTTATTTGTCTGTGATAGAAGTATGACCTATTCCTTCCCATGTCCGATGATCTCTGGACAACTTCCCGGCTACCTCCTCACGCGGCGTGTCAAGGCAGCCAGATGAAACTGTTATGTCATATCCATGTATACATCTGACCCTGTTCTACTTGACAACTTCTGCGGGTTCACCACTGGAAGCACTGCTAAGGCTCAACGTCTGCTGGTTCCTAGAACGCTTCTTCTGAGTTTTCAATGAAGCGATTGCATTCGCTCCTGATGAACCAAAAACAGCATGAACAATGGTTTTGGCAATGGATGTTGCTGCATTTGAACACACACAGAGATTTCAACAAGGCCAAAAACGTGAGCAGTCTCTCCGAAGCACCGTTCGTCTCATCATGTTTGCAGCAAATCTAACAAACTAGCCTGCATGGAAGCACGCAGCCAGAACAGAGTAGCAAAACAGCCTGCCAGCCGACTAGTACCGCAAGACTGAAGCAAGTCCAAAAAACATGCAAGACTGCAACAAAGCAGACATGCCTGAATTGAACAAGCCCAAGTAGTTGAACAAAGTTGAAGACAAACATCGGCGCACATCCTGCGAAACAATCCTATTACCCGATTAAGTCAACAATCCTGTGACGTGATTAAATGAAAATGCCCCTGCCTCGATCGAAAAGCCGAAGAACAGCACAACGGCCGAAATAGGTGCCACCAGCCTGCATCGAAGAACATAGCCACAACACTATCGCAAGAAAGGCTACCAGCCAACCGGCAACACAAGCGTGAAGCAACTCCAACACATGTGCAAGACGGCAACAAACCAGACATGCATGACGTGAACAAAGCCAAGTAGTTGAACAAAGTTGAAGACAAACATCGGCGCACACGGCGCATATGCTGCTAAACAATCCTGTTACCCGATTAAGTGAAAATGTCCCTGCCTGGATCGAAAAGCACATGAACAGCACATCGGGCGAAATGGCTAGACGACAGCATAAATCATTTCGACAGACTCTCCGGCTACCTCCTCACACGGCGTGTCAAGGCAGCCAGATGAAATTGTTATGTCATATCCATGTATACATCTGACCCTGTTCTACTTGACAACTTCTGCGGGTTCACCACTGCTAATGCTCAACGTCTGCTGGTTCCTAGACCACTTCTTCTGAATTTTCAATGCGGCGATTGCATTTGCTGCTGCTGATGCACCAAGGTGCACGCCTGCCACACAGGATGCACGTCCATGTCGCCGAGTGCCACGCCTGCCACGCAAAAAACCGCGGCGTCCACGGCGTCATCTGGGAACCAAGCGCGCCACCAGTGCCAGCCCAGTGCCAGAAGTGCCACGCCTGCCACGCAAAATGACGGTCGATGTCACCAAGTGCCACGCCTGCCATGCAGGATGCACGTCCATGTCGCCGAGTGCCACGCCTGCCACGCAAAAAACCGCGGCGTCCACGGCGTCATTTGGGAACCAAGCACGCCACCAGTGCCAGCCCAGTGCCAGAAGTGCCACGCCTGCCACGCAAAGTGACGGTCGATGTCACCAAGCGCCACGCCTGCCACGCAAAGTGAAGGTGGATGTCACCAAGGGCCACGCCTGCCACGCAAAGTGGCGGTTGTCAAGTTGTGTGTGCGTGAGTAAGTTGTGTATGAGACTTTGTCAAGTTGTGTGTGGGTAAGTTGTGTGTGAGAAAGTTGTGTGTGTGGACAAGTTGTGTTGGAGCAAGTTGTCTGTGGAGAAGTGGTGTGTGAACAAGTCGTGCGTGTACAAGTTGTGTGTGAGCAAGTTGTGTGTGAGCAAGTTGTCTGTGGACAAGTTGTGTTGGAGCAAGTTGTCTGTGGAGAAGTGGTGTGTGAGCAAGTCGTGCGTGTACAAGTTGTGTGTGAGCAAGTTGTGTGTGAGCAAGTTGTGTGTGGACAAGTTGTGTGTGAGTAAGTTGTGTGAGCAAGTTGTGTGTGAGCAAGTTGTGTATGAGCAAGTTGTGTGTGTACAAGTTGTGTGTGAGCAAGTTGTGTGTGGACAAGTTGTGTGTGAGTAAGTTGTGTGAGCACGTTGTGTGTGAGCAAATTGTGTATGAGCAGGTTGTGTGTGTACAAGTTGTGTGTACAAGTAGTTGTGTGGCAACTTGCATGTTGACAAGGTGTGTGTGGACAAGTTGTGTCTGGACAAGTCGGAGCGGCGGAGAGGCGGAGAGGCGGAGGTGCAGAACCAAAAACAAGAACCCCACACAAAGATGTGGGGAAAAACCTGCCCAAGCGTGGCGTTGCATGTATTTCCAAACACTCAGGCAAAGGTGTGGCACCCTTGCATTTGGCCGTGCCGCCGGGCATGTTTAGCGGTTTTATGGATGAGCCCTGATAGAAGCTTTGTCACATATTTGGCCAAACATCGGGGAACCACCAAAAAAACACTCCCACATTTTTTGGGTAAAACATATGGTTGGGGTATCCGGGCATGGGTACCTCCCATTCAAAAATGGGACATTCCCCCGTTCCGGGCCAGGCATTTGATGGGGATCTCGACACCATGAGCTTGCTCATCAAAGCCGGTGCTGATGTCAATGCGGGCGTCCCAAGAATTGGGTTTTTCTGGTGAAACAGTGAAACCTGGTTGGTGGTTTCAAACATGAATTTTATTTTCAACAATATATGGGATAATCCTTCCCATTGACGAACTCATATTTCTCAAGATGGTTATCGCACCACCAAGCAGAAACGCATGTGGCCAAATTCATCCAAATTGTATCGCACCTGGCCCAAGATTTTGGATCGGCACGGCTCCACGCCCCTCTTCTTCGTGCCAACTGCGGATGCCTGTGACGAGTGCGGGGCCTTGGAACTCTGCGCGAGCTGTGGACGTACATGTTGCGTATTCTTACGTTGTGGCAAAGTGTTGGGGGCTCCATGCTGATGTGGGATAGATTACTATTGTTATCATTACTGTTATTGTTACTATTACTATACTATACACACACACATATATATATTATATAGAGTATCCGTTTTTTGGGCTTCGTGCGCATATCTTGGCATGACCTGCAAATACGTCTACCGGAAATATCCTGTGGGAATGGCTGCTTGGTTTGCTGATGCTGCCAACCTTTAAGATTTTCGCTGCAGAATCCTGCTTTGTGACGGTTCTACATTGCTCCCTCGCTCCAGCATTTGAGTTGAGTCGAAGTTATGTTTTTGGAGGGTTCTAGTTTCTTGAGCAGCTGGAAATCCGCATCATTTTGCAGGCATGTGACAGTCGAAGCACAGTGAAGATTTGTGAAGGAAATCCGAGAACAAGACTTCAATCACATCTGCAGTACAGTCAAACATCCTCAAAACCGTCCAGAAGTTTTGATCAATCATCCCAAAACCGTCTAGAAGTTCACAGACTCAATCCACATGACATGTTGCGGTTTTTGGAGCACCACCAGCCGCTCCGATGGCCTTCAATAGACCGACGCCGTGAAGATGTCAGCCATGGAGGGGTCTGGCTGTAGCAAGCTCTTTTCCTTCCCAGAAGACCAACTGCACCTGCATGACGCTGCCTTGGATTTGATCCGAGCAGCCAGCAACTTGCAGATCGTTGCCATCATGGGCGATGGACGGGCAGGAAAGAGTCACCTGGGCAATGAGATTCTAGGGCAACAAGCCTTCAAGACATCGAATGGTGGTGATGCTATGACTCATGGTGTGGACATAGCGCTGCAAGGCAACAAACTGCTGATGGATTGCGAGGGTCTAAACAATGCCTTGGCACCCAGCCGTGCCCAGGTCTTGCAGATTGGAGCGGCATTGGCTTCAACTCTGATTTTCGTTTTGGACGGGAAGCTCTCAGAAGCAGGCCTTGACATGCTGTCAGGGGTTATTGCTCAAATGCAGCTGCATCACAAGCGCTTGCCCACCCGGCTGCTGCTGGTTGTCAACAAGTGTCTCCTGGACTACGAGCCACGTGACCTGGAAACAGCTTTGGAATCAACGCACGGGAATCGCGGCAGCCGGGAAGCCATTGCGCGTGCATTTTCCCAGCGGGATTTTGTAGCTCAACTAAAATGCAAATCTCTTTTTGGAACCTGCTTCCTGTTTCTTTCTCTCAAACCATTTGCACCGTATCTTAATTCCAATTTAAGTGTTTTTTTGGGTTGTGGGCGGGCCTTCAGAAACTGCAAGTGAGGTGGTCGTCCCCTTTGAAGAGTTCAAAAAAGGCGGCTACCAGCAAGCCGTCAATGAATTGAACAGAATTACGGCGCAGGATACTCTGAAGGTTGATGGGCCTCAGCTGAGTGAAACGATCCGCTCACTGGCGGTCCAACTGAGGGACTCCATATGTGACATGCCCAGCCTTCATCAGCAGATCATGGAGAGATTTTTGCAGACCCAAGCCGATGCGGTCTTGCAGAATTTCAGTGAATCCTTGGGCCCAAAGCCGGTGGAATATGACCCAGAGTTCAACATTGACATCTCTGGGAGCTTGAAGAGCTTTGAGGACATTGTCCAGAACTTGTCTTTAGGGGAGGTGGCAGAACCACTGGCCAAAAGACTCCGTACCAACTTGGAGGCTTCAGCTGGGGAATGGCGACGTTCCAACGAAGCTTTGGGCGATAGTATCGCCAACTGGCGGGAAGTGCTGCGTCGAGGCTGTCACCTTTTGGCTTCCAAGAGGATTGGTGCGAGAATTGTGGTGCAGCGCAAGCAGGATCTCAGCCCGTTTTTGGCTTCGTCCAATGTGATTCGCTTGGACCCGCCAGTGCGCCTTCGATATGCATGTGCCAAACAACTTTTGAGTTTTAGTGGGATTTCTTGATGATCTGAACATCCTGGGTTTAACATTCCCACTGGTGATTCCTTTTGCTTATTTTTTGCCTTTGAATGTCTGCATGTGCTCCTGCGCCCAGGCCTCTTTCAGTGCGTTGGATGTGGCACCATTTCCATCCGCATCTCAACCGAGAGAGTCACGACTTCGCGGCAGTTGTGAGGGATGGGCTGGTCGTTGCAGTGAGGGTGGCCGCCCCTGCATTACCAGCTGGAATCCAACCTCCACGCGGCAATGCCCGGCACAGGGGGGCCTTGAGTGTGAGCCTTCGTTCTGACGCTTGGGTTGCCGTGGTTTCGGAGGAACGTGGGGAGACCAGTGTGGCATGCGCAGGGGAGCTCTGGGATGCCGGGAGCAGTTTCCCCAATGATCAGAACTATGAAGCGCAGGAGCAGCAGCGCAGGAACATCCTGATGGGATTGAAGTTGCTGTGGGAGAGTCGCAGAATCAGTTCCTGGGCCCGTGGACGTGTTCATTCTTTGAAGGAGCTATGGGTGTGGGATGGAAAGGCTAAGGATGAGCAATCTGGGCTGGAGGCAGAATCCAGGCACCACAAATCAAAGGATGGTGCGAAAAGCCACGCGGAGCAGAAACTTCGATCTGCACTCCAAGGGCAAGGAATCATTTGGGACTTCCCTCCTTCGGCCCTTTGATTCAAGGGATCGATTGGTGGATGTATATGTTCAGTGCAGAGATGTGCATGCGACAGATGTGCATGTGACAGCACATTCAACTTTAGCAACAGATTTTAGAAAAGCACAGAAAAGACGTGGATGACTGCCAGTTGTGTCAGTTTCTGTAGCGCCCTGAAAGGCATGTTCTATTTGAACAGATGGGGATCAATGATCAATGATTTTTGATTCAGGTGTTCGAAAGTTCCGATATAGGGGGCGGACCAAACCTGTTATACACTATTGTACCATGGGGGGAACGTACATAAATCATAAATCATAAATCATAAATATCATAAATTTTAGATACCAACTATTTTGGTCTTCGGAGTCTTCGGGTCCTGAGGTGACGAGGTGACCTGACAATACCTGACACAATCCCACAGCCTCAGCCGCTTGGCATCTCAGGCTGGCGAAAGCGAACGCGAACCTGAACGTTCTCAACAAGAAGGGTGCGCGAACGCGGCCGTGCGGCCCATGAACAAAGGGGAAACTTCAACTTCACGCCCAGTTCGGGAACCGTTTTGGACAAACCTCTGGATCCGGGTGTTGGAAGCATGAAAAGGAGAAAGTCTGAAATTTGATGCAACATCACCATCACCACCATTCCATGCGATCCTGGAGGATATCTTGGAAGGATATCCCCATCCCAATCTCCCCATCCCAATCTCCCCAACTTCCGGGCCAGGCCAGTCGGCGATTCATACAGCCTCCCATGCGGGGCTGGATGAGGTTGCGCGCTGGCTGACAGACCATGCTGGGAAACCCAAGAGGATTTTTGCAGGAGAACTTTGGATGGGCTGTGATATCAAGCTTGGGTGAATCACGTTTCTTATTTTCTCGTGGGGTTGATTACGGTTGATCTATGATATTATCAATGGGGTTGGACCATAGCCATAGTCCAACAGCCACTGCTCCATGGACGTTTTTTTTTTTAAAATGATTTTTGAAGATATTCCAACATATTCCGACCAGGTGAATGGGCTCGGATTTAGCACTCCGAAGTCAATATTGCCAGGTAGTAGCTGGTGGAATCGCCGAAGAGGGTCCTAGCATGTCATAGCTACAGGACGCAATCAGCCTCCGGGCTCGGGTTCAAAAGCTTCTGCACAGAAAGCTCCCTGGGGCCATCAGATTCCAGAGCTTCTCTGGGGAAGTTGGAGGAGGTGGCTCTGCGTTCTTTGACCCCCCACCCCATCTACTTTGTCCATCCATTTGTTTGCCTCTCTCCCACTATCTATATATCTGTTCTCTTTATTTAGTGCCTGACACTGTTTTAGCAAATGTTGCGTCCATCAAGTCCTATGCCCCCTGGGACTCTCAAAGCATCATCATCCCGAAAATCTTGTTGCGAGGCCAGTCCAGGACTGATCAACGTCCAGGTGCCCACAGGGGGGTCTGTGGCCATGTTTTGAGGTTCATCTCTCCGTGCGTTGGGCCGTTGGGCCGTTGGGGTGGTTTGGAATGCCGAAGATTACTGCTGCACAGGACAAGCACGGCCGCACAGCTTGGTATTGCGCCACGCGAGTCGACGACTTAGAAGGGTTGGGAGTGAGCGAGCGTAGTATGCAGGTGGTGGTTGCCAGTGATTGGCCCTTCTTTCGTTACCAGCTACATTTGCGAAGTTGGGCTATCTCCCGACTTATTTAGTTATGCTTTGACTGTGTCTAGCATGCTCACACACACACAAATATGCCATGAGAATCCATCCAAGGCCGCGGAAGAAAGTGGCAACACAGACACTGTGAAGGTGCTGAAGGCTGGTGGCTGCGTTGTTGTCTGCCCCTGCCAGATACATATCAGAAAAAACAGGGGATAGTGATTCCCCCATGTTAATCGGAGGACATATACGAACCGATTGCCAGGGAATCTACAATGATGGTGGGATGTTGTGACTATGGCACACAAAGATGGAGCAACTGTGGAGACTTGGGGTCGCAACTTGCAATTTTCCATCAAAGATGAGGATATAACTCGATGCCAGCGAAAATAGCGAAAATGAGTTGAACTAGCAGATACCCTACTGGAGGTGTTCACGTGTTCACAGCCCGATTCGTAACTGGCATCTCCACCATTGGGAACTGGTCGGGTCCGTGTGGGACCGTTCACTGTCAGGAGAAGAAACCCATCACCACCCTGAAGCCGTGGAGTCCTAAGCTGCCATCTTCCAACCTAGACACTGACGACGCTTAAATTTTAGTACGATTGGATGTGCCTTTCGGGCCCACCTTTTTTCATTTTTTTTTAGGATTTCCAGGTCAAAAAGGAGCAGAACAGTGAAGTTTTCAGATGGTTCTTTAGCTACTGCTAGGTACAAGGAGTGGAAGGTGGATCTTCCTCCAAAGCCCGGCCGCCGATGTTACGGTGGAAGCTCTGATTTGGATGGTGTTTAGTTGGTTTAGTTAGTTGCGTTCTGTGGTTTGGCTTCGTTCATAGTTGGGCCCACCAGGTGATTTCTATGGTTTACTTAGGTTCACCAGTTGACTATGGTTTATGGTAGCCTATATCATAATAGTTATACGCGCAGAACCGGATGTTTGCCCGGAACCTGTGTTTTCTCGCATGAAACGGCCCTTCTTTTTCAAGGACCCCCACGAAGTCTGCGCAAATTATTGTGAAACGAGCCATGAAGCACATTTTGAACCGCGGATGAAACATGTGTTAAAACCGTGGGAAAACTGGGATGTCATCTTGGGCGAACGTTAAGTTCTGCCGGTAGTTATACCTACTATAAGAATTGTAAACCATTGTAAACCATTATAAACCGGTTTAAGCCATTAACAACCATTTTTAAAGACAATTATAAACCATTATCAACCATAGCCATAGTCAACCTAGTTATGGTGATGGCTAACTATTTCTTTCTGGGTTCAGCAACCAACCATCACTGGGGCATGGAAAATTCGCCTCTGAGGCCCCAAACCTTAGTGGATCCCGTGGCGGTGGTGGCCAAGAAGACACTTGGGCAAAGTGCAAAGTATCCATAACAGCCATAACATTTATCATCAAACATGTATAGATGATGATAAAAACTACGTACCAACATCACTCATCTATCTATCTACATCTATTATTTACATATTTGTATCATATTTTGTCATATTGTACAGCTTAGTCCATAATCCATGGCGGCGCCAAGCTGCCCAGGAAGGCTGCCAAGGCCGCGGAACGGGCTGAGAAGAAGAAGATGAAGAAGCTCACCGTGGCGGTGGAGGATCCGGCGCTGGAACGAAGACCGTTAGCTCATCATTGGGTGCATCCATGTAAACAAACATGATGTGGTTTTTAGCCAATGCCAGAAACCTACCAGTTGGGTGTGTTTTCTATGCACCCATAAAAATGGCAAGTCATTGGGATGTGTTCAATTGGCGGATTTCCCAGCTCCCCGGTTCTATTGGGAAGCTGGCCCAGGAGGAGCCTTCCATAGATCACTTCGTCATTGCCGGCAACCGAATGGTTGGAGTAGCGAGTAGCAATCAGGGCATGTCTAGGACCTTGGAACCCTTGGAATCCATCACTGTTTGGTGGTTTCAGATATCTTGCCTTCTGCAACACACACACATAATATATATATATATAATATATATATAATATATATATATAATATATAATATATACATTTACATACATACAGATACATACTCAGATACATATACATATACATATGCATATAGATATAGATATACATATAAATATACACACGTATATATATATATACACGCATATATCTATATATGTACATACATATAGAAATATATTTTTACACATCACATATCTCTGTGTGTTACAGCATTCTCCCAGTACAGGTCGTCAAGTTGCTACACAGCCTATACAGGTACTAGCTGGGTTCATTCGACGCATCTTTTTGAGCTGCTAGTGCTCGGACGGGTTGTTCAACCACCAAGTGAGTGGTCCTAGGGCTCCTTTCATGCAATCCGCATGCCCAGGTGTCACCCAAACGCAGTGATGATGAGCTGCGACACCTGTCCGAAGAGTTGTCGCAGGTGGAGAAGCGGTGGATTTGGATCTTCGTCGTGGGGTTATATTAGAAAGGGCAAGCTGAGATGAAGAAGGACAAATCATATAGAAGCCACAAGGAAGTTATTACTTTTTGTAGTTTCCAGATGCTTCTTCACTTTCCAAGCAGGGATTTCACTGGTTTCATTGCCATCATCTTGGGCTACTGAAGCACAGATGGTGCCGCCTTGGCCATTAGCACGGCCATGGCGTATTCAGGCTGACACTGAAGTGGTGGCATGGAGCTCAGCGGTGAGGGTTGCTGTCTTGTTGGGGTTTGGGTTCTCGCCCTTAGGCCGTTGCTCTAATATCTCTAATGGATTTCATGATTGGGTTGGTGTGGCAGTTGAGCGATTTTAGCCTTGGATGACTTGCAACTGGCCATGAATTGGTAATCCTGGAGAGTGGCAGGTGAAAAAATCTGCCATTCACCGAGATGCACCGAGGCAGTGCTGCAGGACAACCTCCAGGAGGAGTGAGTTTTGACCGCCTTGGGAATGCCCCAAAGGGGCACCAAGGTCACCAAAATTCACCGCAGATGGGAGCGTACCTTGCATGCTTGCGAACTTTCGACAGCTGACATACCAATGGCCATTTATAGCGGATTTTCCCATTAAGAATGGTGATTTTCCATAGTTATGTTAGTTTACCAGAGGGTAAGGTTTGAACCGGCACGTGAGGACTTGCATCTCTTTTTGATATCTTTGCAAGGCCCCGCGTGGCATACCACAGGCCAAAGACCATCAGCAGCATAATAGGGGGCCAACCTCACTCCCCATATGATTTTTCCGCAGTGTTTCCCAAGTCGCGGTATGTGCCGTGCAAATGCGGAGAGGAGCAGTCGACAGAGGATCTTGTTAAGGATGCGGAGTCCTTGCTCAAAGAGGTCTATGAGGAACGGGGGGGAAGTTCCTGGTGGCTGCGGAAAGACATGATATTGGTTTTGCAGTGTGTCTTTAGAAGGCTTAGAGTGCTGAGTGGCCAAATGACTTGTTGATTGATTGGCCTTGACCCAACAGACCCAACAGCATGAAAGACCAGCATGGCAACGGTGTCAAGCGCCCCAAGCTGATCACCAACTCAGCAGGAACAGTTTCAAGGGCCCATGTGCCATTTCCTTTCCACGTTCTTCACACTGAATCTCGTGCATCTTTTTTCCAAAGATGGGTAATCAAATGTGCCACATTCTTGGGGATGAAACATCCCCGCTTGAGATGGCGATTGTTGGCTGTCGATTGGTAGTTGGTGCGTTCCCCAAAAAACACGATTGAGCAACGCTTGTCAGCTGCTGATGCCGTTCTTGCCAGGCCGTCATGGCGAAGCAAACTCAGGAGGGTGAGGAACTCAGAGTTTTAGTTCGGCAAGCGACTCGCAGATATGGTGATAGAGTAGAGAGAGATGCTTTGAAGCAGAACCAGGGAACATTTTCACCTGAGCTGCACTGCAATGTGGCCGCAACTTGGACTTTTTAGGCTCTAGGGGCACAGCTTTGTGTGCGCGCAGACACGTTGGTTTCTCATAGAAAAACTTTCCTTCAATAACCTGTCAGATCTCTTAGAATGCTCAGGAAAGAAGGGGGGCCCGCTAACAATTGTCCAGGCTTGAAAGTCCCGCAACCTGTCTGTGATGGACTGGTCAAGTCAGATTTGATCATAAAGTGGAACTTGTCCAAATGTAAATTTGCAACTCCTGACCCGGTGAAGCACCATTTTGACAAGCGAGTTCCCACAACTTTGGCGCTTGGCCCTCAATGGGTGTGCTGTCCCCATCCTGACTCTCACCACTGCCTGAAACTCAGCGATTTTGATTTGTTGACATGCTCATGGCGGGAACTTAATTGAGGTGAAATGAATGGCATTTCATATCAGATCATTTTGGCAGCTTATGATCGTTCACCTGCTGCAGGGTTTCGGCCCAGCCCCTGGAAATCTCCAACGTAGGTTTGATGAGTTCACGTGCCAAAGGCTTTGTCAGCCTTTCACTTCTTTTTGTCTGGACTTGGCTTGGAAGTTGTTTTTGCAATCTTGTACTGCCTGCCAGCCAATTTCAAGACATCATTGATGACGTTGGAGTCACCAGCATGATATACAAGGCCAGCCCAGGGCATTCTCTGTCATTGGTGTCTGGTGATCGACGTGGGAAGATCTTGAAGGACTTGTGCAGGAAGGAGCTTGCAAAGATGCATCCCAACAGCAGGATCCAAGATGCGGTACGGGGAGCTTGTTGCAACGGCCAGCAGAGGGGTGCCCATCAAGCTGAGTATGATTTCAGCATCGGTAAGAAGAGGATCGAGTGCAAGAGTTCCTTTATGAAATGGAGCGCGCGCAGTCAAGAGTGGCAAGTTCTCTTCTACATGGTCAAACTGCCCTGGGCGGGTATCAGGGAACGGGCATCATTTGATGATCTATACTTGATCCTAGTTACCCCAGACCATGTGGACATCATCAAGCATGACTTGGAGATGTTTCTTTTTAAGCATGCTACAAGCAGCAGCTACCGGGTACACATTGCAGGGTCAAGGAAGCAGGAGTGTTGGAAAATTGCTTATGAGCAGATCTTGGAGAAGCTGTTGGGTAGAGAAAGCCGCTGTTCGCTCGTAGCTCAGGTGGACTTGTCAAATCCTCAAGTTCAGTCTTGGATTTCTAAAAGCTTGAGGACAGCTTCCACACCGCAGGATGATGCTTACAATAGAATCCCATTGAGCGGCATGACTTCGGCCTTGCGAGATCCGGCGAATTGCGCAAAGATTAGATGCGATTCGCCATCCAGATAGTACCTTTTTGGCAGGAGGTTCAGCAATGGACTGGGTCCGAGATGGTTTGAGAGTTCAGGTGAAGCATGCACAGATGCTGTTCCAAAGAGGCAACCATTGGTGTTGCAATTTTTCTCGCATTAAATGTGCCATGAATGATGCACGTCAGCGAGATCTTTTGGATGAGCTCCGGCTTGTTGTGTACAGCCCGTTTGGCTTGCATTTCTTCAAGCACGCTGGCGGCACAATTGGCTACATCGAAGCCGGCCTGAGAACGGGTACACATGGGCACAACATCCTTTTCTCAGCCCCTGCAGGGGTGGTCGATGTCAAGGCAGCTTTGGAAGCAATCATGCAGAAGATGAAGGACGAAGAATTCCATTTGTTCGCCGAGGTCAAGTGGGACAGATAGCAGCTTGCTGAGAAACGAATGGTCCACGGGGTCCACGGAGGCCACGGAGCATTTTGCAGCTCATCACTTGCGAGGCGAGTAGTGGCGCCAATGCTATGACGAGCTGCTGAACTTGATTCCTCAGAGGGTCAGACGACATGCGCGAATGTCTCGCCAATGCAAAAAGGGCCAGGGTGAATTGGTCCTGCAAGTGTGCATGCAAGCAGCTCCTGTTGCCTTACATTCATTCTTCTTCACACCCAGTGGGATGTAGTGGATGGAACCAGAAGTCCTCATGAGAGACTGAGCTGAGACGCCTTCGCAGCTGTCTTTGGCTTGGCAGATATCGGCGATGAAAGATTGACAATTTGAGAGTGGATAAAGCAGGACCCCCAACACAGACTTGCTACCTTCAAAACTGCCTTTCATCAGAAGCATCCAGTGGAATTGATTCAGTCAAATCCAACTCTTCAGAAAAACCCCGCGTCAAAACTCCACAAAGAAAGGAAACTAACAAGTAGAACTTACGTTGCTGACATTTTCGCTGGATCGCAATGGACGGTCCGGAGGATGAGCAATCCTGCTATGCGATTCTGGGCGTGGATCCCGCTGCCACTTCCTCGGAAATCCGGCAGGCCTGGGCGATTCTTAGCGTGGGCAGTCCCACGGCTTTTTCCGGATTCAAGCTTTTCTTGCTTCGCTGTACATCTCATTACATCTCAACATATTTGACGCCAAAACAATCCAAAACATTTGACAATTGCTCCCAAAGCTTCCATTTCACATTTCCCCCCTCCCTGCCGTCCCAACACATCCCCAAGCTGGGATGGACAGGCCTACCGCAAGTTGGCCTTAGCCAAGCACCCTGACCGCGGGGGCGATCCAGCAGAGTTCGCCCGGGTGACCAAGGCCTACGAGGTGCGAAGTGAAACCAATGGTTGGGATGAACGGATGAACTTGGAAAATATTGCATTATTGGGGAAAAAAACAAGAAAGCCGTAATTCCAGACTTGCCAGCTGGTGGCTCTCTACTTTAGTTCTGCTATTCTGGTGCCATCGGTGCTAGGTTTAGTTTCAACCGTGTTTGATTTTCGCCATGAAATCCGCGCTGCCCGCGGTGCTTAGGTGCTGTCTGACAGCAAAGCACGAGCCAAGTACGATGCCACAGGGAGGACGTCCAAGCTCACGGCTGAGGAGGAGTTCATAGAGGCAGCGCTTGGCCAAACAGGTTGAGCCTTGATCGATGATGGATTCCCCTCTTTGATATCTATCAAACGTCCCAAAATGATACACACTGATACACCCATGGTCACGGAATTGGAACATTGAAGTTATTTAAGCCTAAAAAGCTTATGTTCGCATGGCTTCTGAGTTGCAAAAGCCAACATCGAATGACATGGGAGGCCTTCCGCAGCTCCACTGCCGCCAACGCGGACGCGGAGTCCCGCCCCGCGGAGCCGCGCCGCGCCGCGCCGGAGCCGGAGTCAGCACCGCGGCGCTTCGCGTGGGAGCGCGGAAATCGCAGTGAGCAGCAGAATGGGCAGAGGCTGCGGCGGTTGTGGTTGGGTGTGGCCGGTATGACATGATCATATCATATGAATCCTATGTGTATTGTGGATATGTTTTGTAATTCTTTGTGTTTTGTTTGATTCTTGAAGATAGCTTATGAGGTTGTGGTGGGGCTGTGGGGAAATCCTGAGAGAAGAGCCATCAAGACTCAAGATGGAGCTTTTCTTTACGTTTTGAGACTCGACTTGAAGTGTTCGATTGTGGATTTGAAAGTGCCTTGCAGTGATTTTGGCAGGCGGAGTGGAGGTGTGCACAGCTTTTCTGCAAACGTCGGATCTTCCCGGCCATCATCGCCACTTTGCTCCACTAATCTGATCGTTGCAATTCCAGTCTTGCAGCAAGCCCATGGGTGTGGGTCGAAACTGAACTTTGCAATTCGCATTTTCTCCTAGAAACGACACAGAACATCTGTCACTGCAGAACCATAATCTTTTTCTCCACCCCCCAATGTTTTACCATGTTTTACCAATTTTTTCACCCATATCTTGGCTGACTTACATCCCAAGCAGATCCAGGACCCCCGACTCAGCTGCCGGCTACATCCGCCCCGACAACTTGGCGGGTGCCGTCCAGGAAGCCGCTGGGGGGCTGGAGGTGGGCGCGCGCGTGCGCATCGTGGGGCTCCAGAAGCAGCAGCATCTGAACTCAGCCATGGGCGTCCTGGTGAAGTTCCATGGGGACCGGTGGCAGGTGGGGATGGCGATGGAAAAAGGAGGATGAGTTTGGACTTGAAGACTCTTGTTCTAATGGGATGTTACATTGAAAAATCAATCAACAACATCCGACAACAATTTCACTAGATCACTAGATAATATCTCAAACTCAAGAATTAAATTGCGGTCTTTTGGTCTTTTCTTCCAACTTGATCCACCCACATCCACCAGGTGCGTTTGGAGGGCGACCTCGGGGACAAGCTCTTCCGCACTCAGAACCTGATGCCGGCCTCCCGCAACGGTCCCTCCGCGGCCAGGGCCGCCGGCAGCAGCAACGGCAGCAACGGCTTCCGGCCCGAGCCGAGGGCGCAGGAGGCGGCGCCAGGACGGGATGATGTTGCCATGGGAAAACCTAGGAAACAGCATAGCAATAGCATGTCAATAGCATGTCAAAGCGCTGTAATTAGTCCCGTTTCAGCGTTCCCAAGCCATCGCAGTGAAAAAGTCATTAAAAGTTTAAAGATTGTTCTATCATGTTTGATCAGCGTCTATATCTCAGCCAAAAGCCCTAAACTAAAAGGCCCCAAACCATGAGCTCACATAACAAGTTGAAGATCTTTTGATGCTGTTGTTTCCGGTGTAACTTGATGGTCTGCAAAAATGAAGGACATGCCAACGGCGTGGCGAGCACCAATGGCACCCACGAAAGGAATGGCACCACTGGTGGCCCAGAAAAGCGCGGCTTCATGCGACCGCCTGCAGATTACCTGCGCGCAGATTCATCAACGATTGAGAGCCTGGGTGAGTGTTGGCACATGATTTGTTCCTGCCATGATTCTTCCTGTGCTGGGGAGGGGCATGACAATGATCTTCTTATGACCTGATTTGTCTTAATTGAACCCCTAACAAACCACGTTATGGCATTCTGGGATAATGACATCATTGCACAATGCATTACAGTATATCATTTAATCATGTGTTACACACTGTAGCAACCTCAAACAAATTGGAAAAGTAAACTCCCACTAAAATAGTGGTAAAGGACTTTTCTATCCCTTTTCAGGCTTACTATACGTTATCATTCAGTCTTTTGTTGTGTGGAGATTGTATCCATCCATTCCCCGAGAGAACACATGACATCCTCGAGGATCTGCGGCAGCTGGAACAACTGGCGGCCGCAGCCCATGATTTTGGAACGCCAGCGTCGGTGTCACAAATTCCAGGTGGTGCTCCCCTCAAGCGCGCCGGAGAGCTGCTTGGTGACGGTGGGATGTGTGTTAGAACTGTTAGGATCAGAAAATGAGGAGAGCCTGTGCTGGTAAACCACCGCACTCACGCGTTCAATCTTCATTTTTGCTGCTTGAATCAGCTTGAAACCCAATTTTTGGGTCAGAAAAAATAGCAAGGCCCGCCATTTTTTGCGGCCCCAGGCTTCCAGCTCTTCGTAGCGGGCGACGGCCCGGGGCGCTGCCTGCACCCCGACCGGCCCGAGGCGTCGGTGCAGGAGTTCCACCGCCTGGTGGGGCCGGATGACAACAGCCAGGGCCATGGCTGGAGCATTGGGAAACACCCGGAGGAAAGCCTGGGGGGATGGGGATGTTGGAGGTGGGTTGGTGGTGGTGATTTGGTGGTGGTGATGATGATGATGATGAACAATACCCAACGCTTTTCTCCCTTCCAGCAGGACCACGCCGCCATGGGCGCGCGGTATGAGGTGATGCTGATCTTCGCAGCCAATGGGCGCCCGGATCGCCTCGATTGGGTGCGGCTGAACCCGCGGAGCGAGGCGCCGAAAACCACGCCTGCGAAAGCCAAAGCGAGGCCGGCGCCCTACGGTGGCCTCAGCATGGGAGGCTTCCTACAAGCGGCCAAGCCCGAGTGGACGCAGAAAGATATCACCTCGGTCTTGGAGAGGTGCTGATGGACGATGAGATTTGGAGGGTTGGTCATTGGAATGGGGTTATAAGTTAGTAGGAGAAGCAAGAAAACTGACAGATGACAAATTATCCTCCAATTTCAGCCCCCATGGCTGTTTTGATGGGCTTATTGGCTTATTGCCACTCCCAGGTTGGGCAAGATCACTGTGACGGACATGAGCAGTTTGCTTCGCACCCTGCAGTCTGAGGGCTCCGCGGGGGTGAACCAAAGGTTCAAGGCTGTTGGGGAGAAGAGCTTCACAGATTCAACTGTCAGGTGGGGATGCTAGGAGCGGGGCTGGGATGGTATGGTTCATGAACAGAGGGGATGCCAAAGCGCCTCCGCCATTTTTCTCAAAATGGAAATTACTGGTTGGGACAATTTTGAGCATTTCTTACACGAGACACTTGAGATCATACGCCATACGCTGTCTCAAATTCCAACGCCTATTTCAATTCCAAGCATCACTCCCCAACGTGCTGCAATTCAACTTCCAAGTGCTCTGCAGGAATTTTGCTACACAAACTTAGGGCGTGTTCATGCCAATAAATCATCAAGACCCCCTCTCTTGAGCTGCCCTTGGCATCAGGGCCTTGCGAGAGCACGCGAAGAAAGTTGCTGCACTTGAAGCCGAACGTTTGAACCCCAAGCCCAAGCCGAAAGCGGCGCCGCCAGCCAATCCACTCGCGCCCTTGCCCACGCAGGAGTACAAGGTGGGAAACATTTTGGCTGCAACCAATTGCTGGGACTGGGCTCTCTATGCTATTTCAGTTATTTCCATCCTCAAAGAGCAACTTTGTGCAGTGTTTATTTGATCTTTTTCTCTTGTTATAGAATGGTAATCCATGCGCTCAGGCACCCTGTGGCCCTTGTTGGGTGGACCCCTTCCTGTCCGCCTCAGGTGGTGCACGACTTTGTGTATTTGCGGCAAGAGCCATCCCTGCACGCGCCCATCCTGGGCAAACGTCAGCGTGGCGACACCTTCCACGCCTCCGAAGAGACCTGGGATGGCTGGGTGAAACTGCATGGGCAGCCTGGATCCTTGACCTTTTACTTACTGGTGCTTAGCAGGGAATGGATGGGAATGGGGGACTGGGATGATTATTGATAGTTATTGTGGAGCATTCCCTCATTCCCTACGTTTCGCACCAGTAAGTTTAGAGAAAGAAAAGGTGAATCCCAATGGATTGCAAAACAGTCACAGAACCAATCGCCGCACAGCTGGGAACATGATCACACTTAGTGTAACCAGTTTCACACCACCAACTTCAAGTTCATCCACCAACATCCACAGGGGGTGCTTAAACATCCCGCCGGGTTGGAAATGGGCCGAGTAAAAACAGCATTTTCATGTGACTGGCAAGAAGTCAATCACGCGTTTCGCAGTGTTTTTTCATGTTTTTATGTTGTCCATGAAGTCAGGTTATACTTATATGGCGGTTTGGGTTGGTGGTTTGGAAGTCTGGGAAATCAGAGTTATATATGTGCAAAATAGATTTGAAAAATGTGCTTTTTTTTTTTCCGTGTTTTGTATTTGTTTTATTTTTTGCTTAACTAATCTAATCTAATCTAATCCTAATCTAATCTAATCCTAATCTAATCTAATCCTAATCTAATCTAATCTAATCCTAACCCTAATCTAATCTAATCCTAATCTAATCTAATCCTAATCTAATCCTAATCCCTAATCCTAATCCCTAATCCTAATCCCTAATCCTAATCCCTAATCCTAATCCCTAATCCTAATCCCTAATCCTAATCCCTAATCCCTAATCCTAATCCCTAATCCTAATCCCTAATCCTAATCCCTAATCCTAATCCCTAATCCTAATCCCTAATCCTAATCCCCAATCCTAATCCCCAATCCTAATCCCTAATCCTAATCCCTAATCCTAATCCCTAATCCTAATCCCTAATCCTAATCCCTAATCCTAATCCCTAATCCTAATCCCTAATCCTAATCCCTAATTCTAATCCCTAATTCTAATCCCTAATTCTAATCCCTAATTCTAATCCCTAATTCTAATCCCTAATTCTAATCCCTAATTCTAATCCCTAATTCTAATCCCTAATTCTAATCCCTAATCCTAATCCCTAATTCTAATCCCTAATTCTAAATCCAAATTCTACTCCCTAAACCTAATCCCTAATCCTAATCCATAATTCTAATCCCTAATTCTAATCCCTAATTCTAATCCCTGATTCTAATCCCTAATTCTAATCCCTAATTCTAAATCCAAATCCTAATTCTAAATCCTAAATCCTAATTCTAATCCTAATCCCTAATCCTAATCCCTAATCCTAATCCCTAATTCTAATCCCTAATCCTAATCCCTAATCCTAATCCCTAATCCTAATCCCTAATTCTAATCCCTAATTCTAATCCCTAATTCTAATCCCTAATTCTAATCCCTAATTCTAATCCCTAATCCTAATCCCTAATCCTAATCCCTAATTCTAATCCCTAATTCTAAATCCTAATTCTAATCCCTAAACCTAATCCCTAATCCTAATCCATAATTCTAATCCCTAATTCTAATCCCTAATTCTAATCCCTGATTCTAATCCCTAATTCTAATCCCTAATTCTAATCCCTAATTCTAAAATCCTAATTCTAAATCCTAATTCTAAATCCCTAATTCTAAATCCTAATTCTAAATCCTAAATCTAAATCCTAATTCTAAATCCTAATTCTAAATCCTAATTCTAAATCCTAATTCTAAATCCTAATTCTAAATCCTAATTCTAAATCCTAGTTCTAAATCCTAGTTCTAAATCCTAATTCTAAATCCTAATTCTAAATCCTAATTCTAAATCCTAATTCTAAATCCTAATTCTAAATCCTAATTCTAAATCCTAATTCTAAATCCTAATTCTAAATCCTAATTCTAAATCCTAATTCCTAATTCTAAATCCTAATTCTAAATCCTAATTCTAAATCCTAATTCTAAATCCTAATTCTAAATCCTAATGCTAAATCCTAATGCTAAATCCTAATTCTAAATCCTAATTCTAAATCCTAATTCTAAATCCTAATTCTAATTCCTAAATCCTAATCCTAAATCCTAATTCTAAATCCTAATTCTAAATCCTAAATCTAAATCCTAATTCTAAATCCTAATTCTAAATCCTAAATCTAAATCCTAAATCTAAATCCTAAATCTAAATCCTAAATCTAAATCCTAAATCTAAATCTTAATCTAAATCTAAATCTAACCTAATCTAATCTAATCTAATCTATCTTTCTGAGTATCTGTCTATCTGTTTGTTTGTCTGTCTGCCTACCTATTTACTTATCTAATATATCATATCCAACATATCTATTTGTTTGTCTGTCTATATATCTATTTATCTATCTATCTATCTATCTGTCTATCTATCTATCTATCTAATCTAATCTAATCTAATCTAATCTAATCTAATCTAATCTATCTATCTATCTATCTATCTATCACTATCTATCTATCTATCTATCAATCTATCAATCTATCAATCTATCAATCTATCAATCTATCAATCTATCAATCTATCAACCAATACATAATTTATCTATTTATTTGTTTGTCTATTTGTCTATCAAACTAGTCTAATCTTCTCTGATCTTATCTAATCTAATCTAAGCTAATCTAATCCAACCTCTCTAATCTTTCAAGTCTGTCTATTAATCTATCTAATCTATCTAATCCACCTAGTCTACCTTTTCTATCTGATCTATCTAATATGCCTACTCTATCCAAGTGACCTTACCTATCTATTCTATCTAAATAATCTACATGAAAGCAAAGCAGAGAAAAAAACAGTTTCTCTTGAAACAAATTCCATTGCGGTCCTATCCTGTACAGTACTCTGACTGATGCAGGTTTCATGGAGTTTCCATGGAGTTTCCATGCAGTTTCCATGCAGGTTTCATGTTGGTTACATGCTGGGTTTGCTGATTTAGCTTACTGGTGTGTAACCTCCATGACAACTCCCTGGAACCTGCATGGAATCTGCATGGAACCTCCATGGAACCTGCATCAGGCAGAGTGCATGGTAAAACCAACAAGTGTAGATAGAGGCATCACCTCCATAACGCACATGGGAACTGCATGAATTCTACATCAATTCTCCATGGAACCTGCATGGAACCTCCATGAAAGCTGCATCAGTTAGAAGGCGCCATGCAACCATCACGTTTAGACACAAGAAACAACGGAACCTACATGAAACCTCCATGAAACCTACATCAATTCTCCATGGAACCTGCGTGGATACTCCATCAAAGAAGCGCCATACAAGCACCAGGTGTAGATACAGGGAACAGAGACTTTTTTTTTAGTGGACACTACGTGGAAACCATCAGACGCTTTGACGCAAATTGATCGCAAATCGATCGTAAATCGATCGTAAACTGATCGTAAAAATACGCACAAAAACTGTCATAGCATCTGTGCATTTTGATGTCGTTTTCACTAGGTTATCTGTCTTTGTTGATGTCCCTTTTTGTTTCTGCACTGGAAAAGTCAATTTCTTCCAGAGTTTCTATTTATCCTGAGTGTTCACTGCTTGGTGGTTTCGATTTTGGCAAGGTTTCAAATGTGAATTTTTGTTTGATGTCATTTTGATGGAGTTTTATGTCACTGTCTGTCTCGGTGTCAACTTGATGGAGGTTCCAAACATATAATATTGCAAACTAAGTTAATTAAAAGACGAAACCACCAAGAGAAATGAACTCACTTGTGTCATCTTGGATTCTATGATCACCAAACCATATGAATATATGAATTGGCAAGTGCCGTTTTCTACAGGCCTTAGGTTCTTGTCGATGTCATATTGATGTTGTCTTATGGCCTTCTTATTCGTTTTTAGGCCGATGTCAAATCGATCGACAAAGGATCGCAAAATGATCGCAAAACAACGTCGAAATCCTACATCAAAATGACTCATTACAAAGTCCACACTTGAAACCCTGGCCTTGCCAACATCAAAACCGCCAAGCAACGAACACTCAGGATAAATAGAAATTCTGGAAGAATTTGACTTTTCCAGTACAGAAACCAAAAGAAACATCAGCAAAGACAGATGGCCTAGTGAAAACGACATCAAAACGCACGGATGCTATAACAGTTTTTGTGCGATCAATTTAGTTACGATCGATTTGCGATCGATTTGCATCAAAGCGTCTGATGGTTTCCACGTAGTGTCCACTAAAAAAAAACTCGAACATGTTCCCTGTATCTACACCTGATGATTGTATGGCGTCTTCCTTGATGGAGTATCCACGCAGGTTCCATGGAGAATTGATGTAGGTTTCATGGAGGTTTCATGTAGGTTCCGTTGTTTCTTGTGTCTAAACGTGATGGTTGCATGGCGCCTTCTAACTGATGCAGTTTTCATGGAGGTTCCATGCAGGTTCCATGGAGAATTGATGTAGAATTTCATGCAGTTTCCATGTGCGTTATGGAGGTGATGCCTCTATCTACACTTGTTGGTTTTACCATGCACTCTGCCTGATGCAGGTTCCATGGAGGTTCCATGCAGATTCCATGCAGGTTCCAGGGAGTTGTCATGGAGGTTACCCACCAGTAAGCTAAATTTGCAAACCCAGCATGTAACCAACATGAAACCTGCATGGAAGCTCGATGGAAAATCCATGAAACCTGCATCAGTCAGAGTACAGGATAGGACCACACGGTTTCAAGAAACTGTCTTTCCCCCATTTCAAAAATAAATAGACAAGTACAGAAAAATGCACTAGAATTCAATAATCAATTAAACAATCACGTGAAATTCTTTGACATTAAATAAGTGTACATTTTCCGAGATACAAGATGAATATCAATTCAAAAACAAACCTAATCTGGTAGCAATCATTGTTGTTTTAAATTTGTTTTCTTTATTTTCAACGACTTCATTGTTTGCAGGGTTTGATATTCACGTCGCTTCGCGAAGGCAACCGCCCGCACCGCATCGTTGGGCTCAAAGTACTGATTGTCGGAAAAAAAACCGCGAAGAATTTGATAGCCATGTATAGCGGACCAACGCAGTTCAAAAAATAACGAAAAACATGAAAAAACGGCGAAATTGCTGTTATTTACAGTGTTTTTGCGCGGTGAGAAGCAGAAACCACTGCAAATACCATGGTTTTTGAGGGTCAGGTGGCCAAAAACACTGTAATTTACAGTGTTTTTTTAACCAACGTCAAAAAACACTGGTATTTACGATGTTTTCATTCACACCGTAACATAAAACAGCGTAATTTACGAGGTTTTTGGAAGTTTTGAAGCTAGCCGTCAAGCATGCAGAAAACAGAAAAACACTGTAAAAACCAGTGTTTCTGCTATCACAAAACGACGAAAATCAGTCCGAAAACGGGTCCAAAAACTCAAAAATCCGCCTCCGGGCCCGGCCACCTGCGGAACCGCAAAAAAAGATGTTGCAAACAAAAAAATTGAGGTCAAAAAGTTGAAAAACACGGGGTTTTTTCACTTTTCGCTTGCCGATTTTGGACGGGCGCGTTCACGAACAGGTGTCTTCCGTACTGTTTTTTACAGTGTTTTTTGAAGGCGAGCGTCACGACCTATCAAAAACAGGAGGTTTTGGCCGAAAAATGCCCCCCCCCCCAGGTAAACCTGTAACCTTTTACGAGTGCCATCCGGACGATCACGCCCCAGCACCTTCGGTGCGGGCGGATTTTTTGTTTTTTCTAAGTTTACAAAACCATCAATTCCCAGACTTCCAAACCACCAACCCAAACCACCACGTAAGCACAAGTTGATGAAGGTCAATTCTATTGCGATTTTCAATTTTCATTGGGATTTACTATATATAGTTGACATGTCGGAGTGCGAAAAAGGTATCTTTTGGGAAGTCAACGTGCCCAAAACCTCAGCGGCAGCCATTTTTTCCGGTGATCTCTACATCTTCGCTAAGTACGCACCTGTTTTCTCCAACAGGTCTTTTCCAACTACATTTGCCTCCCATCGCCACTGCCATGTGCGAACGTACGTCCACATGAGGTCATTCAATTTCTCTTCGTTTTCTGGGCAAGATGTCAACTGATCGGGAACACTGGCAAGTACGTGGACGTTATTACCCCACCCCACCCCACCCCACCCCTGCGTGACGTGACGCATCTTCAACGTAGCATGACGTATGTGCGCACGTGCAAGTGAACCTGCTGTGGCGTAACATCATGGGAGTGCGCAAGTACTCCAACGCTATTACCCCACTCCACCCCACCCCACCCCTGCGTGACGTGACACATCTTCAACGTAGCATCACGTATGTGCGCACGTGCAAGTGAACGTGCCGTGGCGTAACATCATGGGAGTGCGCAAGTACGTGAACGTTATTACCCCACCCCACCCCACCCCACCCCAAGGAACATATATAAAAATGCCTAAAACGCTCGGATGGTTTTCAACCCGTAGGCTTAAACATCGCCATTGGGCGTCGAAGTAGCAGGTAACAACAGTGAAACAGCCCCCAAACAAGCAAGCTGATGTCGGAAAAAATCTCATCCAACCATTTTCACCATTTTCACCTAAGTTTTTCCCGATCCCCATCCCCATCCCCATCCAGGCTACATCATCAAGGACATGGGTGGCCTCTCAGGCATCGGCAAGGTGCTGAGTCAGCTGGGCCGCGCCCTGCCCTTGGTGCTGCCGGAGCCGCAGGGCTCGCCGGAGCCGTTGACCTTTGAGGTGGTCTACCAGCCCTTTGTGGCGGTGAGAACGGGACCCTCCAAGACGCGACCCATACAGGTGGGGGGGGGGATGGGGATGAGAGTCATGATGGAAATGCGCGGAAATGTGATGAAATGTGTGGATGGAAGGGAAAAATGAATAAGCAAACTTGAGATGATAAGGATTTTTTTGAAGAGAAACGGGGTGAGAGAGACCCAAGTGTGATCAGCCCCCAATGCTGTCGTCCACCTCCTAAGGGGTGATGTTCGCGGAGAAAACCGCAGTGTAAGGGCCTGAGATCAATGTACGGATTAAGCAAAGGAAAAAAACCCAGCACATTCGCAGCACATTTTTTCCATGACAAAAAATCTAAGAAAAAACACATGGAAGAACCCATTCCACCCATTTCCCTCATGGTTTCAGCCCGGACGAGACCATCCCTCTCATGGCTTCAGGGCACCCGCAAGTTTGGTGAACGGCTCCGCGCTGAGAGTCAGGGCTACGGCGGCTGGGTGCGCGTGGTACAGGAGGATGGAGGCGGTTGGATGTTGCGGCTCGGATGGAGATGGCGTGGAGTGGGGCTTGCCTGGCCACATATGGGTCTGATTGGTTGGCTTCGGAATTGATTCATTTTTGGATTCATTTGGCCCTACTTTTTAGATGGAGAATTGGGATGTAGAACCTGGAGCAATGCAATGACAATGAAAGATGGCGAAGTAAATTTCAGTTTTGGGAATTGAAACATCGCTTGCTGGATGGTATTGCTTAAGTCACTTTTGCCACTTTTGCCACTTCTGCACTACATCACGGGGATGCCAACCATTTTCCATTGCATTTTTTCCGCCCAGAACCTTGGATGATGAGCTGGGCCAGCTTTTGGCCTGCAAAACCGTGGACGAGCGAAGGAAACAGGCCCCTGGTATCCCCTGGTACTGTTGGGATCCCTTGGTGTCCCCTGGTATTCCTTGAGATCCCCCCGGTATCCTCTGGTACCCTCTGGTAAACTAACATAGCTATTGAAAATGCCCCATTTATAGTGGATTTTCCCATTGAAAATGGTGATTTTCCATAGCTATGTTAAATTACCAGAGGGTATCTCCTGAGTTGGTCTTCATCTTCCCGAGATGCATGGGATTTTCAGTGGTGCTAGCTGCAGCTAGCGGCCCATCGTATACACGATTATTTGGCACAGACACACATACACACAAACACAGAGATTTTGCAGCGTAGCAACTCCAGGTATTATATATATATATAGGTAATCATATATAATGATCCATAGGTTGGAAAGCTGGGACTTACATGAGGTCAATATAAATATTAATTGATTAATGTCAATATCGTCTACTGTATACTGTACTGGAAAAATTGGAAGTACAGTATTTGCATACATTGATATCTATAGTCTTTCATCTATCAATAAATGATAGTATTTATACTATGTGGATAGTGTATCTATAGATATCTATGATCGTTCTACATCCAATGATAGTGTCTGGAACAGTGCCGTTCAGCTGCCAGGTGTCTGCCCTGCGCCATGCCGACCGCAACAACGTGGCGCAGCTGACAGAAGCGATTGCTGGAGCTCGCAGGTGGGCGGAGATCGTTGATCCACGAACAAGCCGACCTAATAAGAGGTAGGTACAGTAGTATAGTGTTAGTATGGCTTAATGGTGCTTGATTCTTGGTCAATGTGGCTTTGATATGGGTTCATATCGACTGAGATGTGTTGATATGGGTTGATATGGGCCAATCATAGATGGATCTACCCAGAAAGTTGGCGAATTGATCCGTCAAGCTAGGAAACCACAGGGGTATCAACATGATTGGTTGGTGTACAGCAGAAATCCAGGAATTTCCTACGTTTGAAGCTGTCGGTGAAGCCAGTTTTAAAGCTCTAGTATGGAGACTTGTAGTTTCTTTCAAACTGAGCTGCCCTCCACCAACAAGTTCGTTTTCAACCGGAGAAAAGATCACGGCTTGATGTTTCATTTCCCATTCAAAGGGGGAAGCATCTCCAAGAATCAAAACTATGTTGTTGGGTTGGGTAATGTTCAGACCAATATTCATAGGACCTCCCACAAAAGATAGAAAAGTAAATCAGCATCAGAATAGTGAGTCTATCTTCTTAGTGACCACCATATTTTCAAATTCTCCCATTTATATTCAACTTTCCAATTCACCTAAGACCTCAAGTTTTAAACATTTGAATCCTCCATGGACTAATGCGACATTTCCCAACTTTTGGGGATCGAAGTGTCAGGTGCGGTGTGAGGGGCATCGAGTTGGAGCAAGCAGAGGCTGATTTGCGGCAACTGCGTGAACGAGAGGCCGACAGTGGGGAGCTTGTGGTCATGGTTGTCCAGTGAACTGACTGAGGGGGTTCTGGGAAACGCCTTGGTGTTTTTTTCCCCATATCATGGCAGCCACAAGTTCAAGCCATAATTCACCATCAGAATTCACAATCTTTTACCAAAAAAAATGCTGTTTTCTAGGGGTAAATATCTTCCCAACCCTCTGGTCATGGGTATTCAAGGACCAGTCTTAACTTGCAACAACCGCCTTGGCGACACTTAAACCATGTATAAGATTGTATAAGTATATGAAATTCCATATATGTATGTGTATTATTGTTTGTGGGTTGGTGATCTGGATTCGGAGGTACGCTATGAACCATCTATTCGGAGTTTATCACCTTCAGGAGCTTTCAACCTTATTAAAACCACTTATTACATCCCATTACGTATCCATTATGGTCGGTTTTACAACATTTTCCCGTTCAAATTCTGTTTTTATAAACATTTACTGGTTGCGGTAGATCCCATGTTTCATTTTTGGTTAGACGCCTCAATCATATTGGCTATCTTATGCTATTTTAACTTGTCTTGATTAAGTAGGTGAACTAGGCATTGTGAGAAAAACACAAGCAAATCCTAGTCAGATGGGGTCATAAAGCAAGTCAGGTGCCAACTATGGGGCTTCCGCACTTTTTGTTTTGCTAAACTTGCAAACTCTTCATCCTTTAGCCCTCCCTGGTGCCGTGCCGCCCGCATGGTCTCCCCAGGCCTCGCGGAAGGAGCTGCTGCAGCGCGCCGCCGCGGCGCAGAGCGATGTCCGGGAGGAGCGCCTGCGGCGCTGCGTGGAGGAAGCCGAGCGGCAGAACTTCGTCCAGGCGGCTCACATTCATACCGATGCAAGCATGAATCTAAGGTACATAGAGAAGTGAACCAATAGACATACTATTGAAGCGAATAGATAGATGAATCAAACAACTATGGCGCACACACATATATATATATTTTTTGTACATCATGGTCCAGCAACCCGTCAACACGACTAAGAAAAGCTGGGCTGTGGCACTGTACAGATGCAAGTGAGAATCAGCGGCACCAGGGGCACCGTGCGCCGCCAGCTGCCCTTGCAAGCTGGAAGGCTGGGTCCACCCAGGCGAGGCAAAGAATGGCTAAGCCAATACTTACCAGGCCGATGCCGAAAGGAAAGTAAAAACAAGTGGGCACGAGCAAAAACGCCAGATGCCAAAAATCAAGCACCTCCCGGTAGAGGAGTATGAGTCTGAAATTGCACCAGCCGGGACTGCACAGGAAAACTAGGCACCAGGCAAAACGAAAGCATCGTGCACAAATGCTGCCAAGCACTAAAGGCAAGGCGGCCACAAGAAACCGGGCCCAGCTCACTCATCCAGGACATCAGGAAGGCTTCAGGAGCGCAAAACCACAGCCGCCGCCGAAGCAGCATTCTGCCACAGCGGCGTCAGCACGGCGCTGCAGGGCAGCCCTTCCACGATAGCTGCGGATCAGGACCGAAGTTTCTTGCAGCAGCTCAGCAAAGAGAGCCGCAGGCTCGGCCTGTTCCCGCGCAGCAACTGCACGGGCTATGCACTTTAAGACCCGGGCCGCCGCATGGTCCCAAGCACCGGTCGTCTCAGCCACAAGTGGGACAAAGGTGAGACCTTGCCCTCGACAAATCGAAGCAGTGTCCAAGTGGGCCATTTTGACGGTTGCATAAGCAGCAGCCGCAGCGCCTCCTTGCCGCCCAGCCTCTGCTAAGCTAGCCTGCCGCTGAAAGCCTGTCACGGCCAAGTCAAATGCAGTAGGCTTGCCAGAGAAGCAAGGTGCAAAGATGTCTGCAGGTCGTCTGCGTGCAACCCCAATCTCTTCTGGGCGCTGTGGGAGAAGGAGACCCGGTTTCTCCTTTTCTGGGTGAAGCCCGGCTCGGTCCGCCCAAGTGCAGAGCAAGTCCCGGAGCGCGTTGTGCCGCTGGTTGCGCTCGCCCCCAGCTATGCAGACCCCGGCGGGGGCACCATCCATCACTTGAAGCTTCGGCCACCCCAAGCCGGTGGCGCAATTCCGCGGTAAACACGGCAGGTTCCATGCGCTTTGGTCCAGCCGGCACCGCAGCCAGGAATGCACGGCCACCTGGCTCGGCTTCAGAAAGAAGCATAGCTTTACGGGTGGGGCAGCTAGCTTCCAGCTGCAACTTCCAAGCCTGCATGTCAGCTTGAGCACCCAAAGTCCGCTGTCGAGATGCCAAAGCCATTTCCATGCTCACAGCCCCGCCAGCTGTTTGATTGTAGGCCGCCAATGCACCAACCACATGAGGTGACAGAGAAGGCGGTCCGAAGCTGGTATCCATCTGCTGGCATTGCGGGGCGCACCCACCGACTGAAGCCAGGTAAGCGGCAGAGGCGTCCGATGAGGTCGAGCGCAAGCTCAAGCCTGCACATGTCTGTCTGTCTGTCTGTCTGTATATATATATGTATATACACAGAAGATTTAAGAGTGCCCACCACCACCTGGCGCAGGAGAAGAAGGCTATGGAAGAAGCCCTGGACAAAATGGTCAGCGTCAAGATGGAGACCCAGCGAGAGCACGACCTGCTGCTGGAACAGCTGGCTGAAGCCGCGAAGGGTGGGCAGGTGGCAGACATAAAGGCCGGTAGAGTCGGGGAAAATTTCTGCCGGAACTGAAGATGAACCACCCAGACATTTCTAGAATTTTCCTTCCTTGTTTTCTTGATTTGTTTTTTGGGTGATGCTTTTTGATGGTTCCCTTCCGTATCTTTGGATCTTGCCACGCTTCGGGGGTGCTACCATCAGTTGCCATCAGGCAGCCCGCAACGCAGCCAAAGCTGCTGGCGTGCCGATGAAGGAGATTGCGCGTGTCTTCGCCTTGCACAACGGCAGTGGTCAGTAGAAGTTTTGGGAGCGTTGTGGCAGCTATTGTGTCCGATGCGCAGAGTTGATTGAGTTAGCTGAGCAGATGTATCGAACACCTGAAAGCTAAGTGCATTTGTAAAAAGTAGCCCCTTAATAGAGACATTGTTGTGGATCACTATTTCACTATTTGCGCTCTTGTTTGGATGGTAGAGGTCGCAGGATTTCTTATGACAGCTGGCCGTAAGATCTGCCAGTTGGTACCCAACACATGGTCACTTGGTGATCAGACAGGATGCGCAGAAGTTCGCAACAAAAGGAGCGACAGAACATGCTCTGGCAGCATTTGGTTTGTGAATCACCCAAACAGGTGGATAATGTCAACCCAAGATTCATACTGTACCCCGTCAAAAAGAATCAAAAAGGGAGGGGGTTAGCATGTAACTACTGATTCTGGTCATATAGAGATTCTGTAGGACTTGCTGGGCTGGGATGGTTTGGGAATCACCGTTGTTTTCAAAGACAGACCCAGTTCCACATCCAACAGCCGAAGGGTCTAGGGAGGTGGCCGATCAAAACAGTTGGTCATGGATGTTCCCCTCATATGTTGTGAGAGGTTTTGAGTCCCCATTCTGTCCTTGAATCTAGTCATCCCCAAGATAGAAACGAAACATTTTCACCCTTTCTGTTTGTTTTGGAATTTTGGGTTTGGTAAATTATGCTTTTCCCACATTTTCCCCATGAAACCATTGGACCATGCCATTTTTCAGCTGCAAGATCAGGCATGGCGATTCCGGCTTCAGCCTTCAGGCTCGGTGCGCGAGTTTTTTTTTGTCTTGGTAAACCAGTGACGTATTGGCCATGGAAATGGATGACTTTTGCAGTTTAACATAGTGTTGTCATAGTTTTTCTACTCAAGTCACAGATTCGAAAAAAAATCTAACATTTTCCAACTGTTGGCAGGCCATGATTCACGGTGCAACAGGTCAGGTGTGTTCATTTTGGGGATGGTTTCTACCAACTTCTGGGCTCAAAGGGGGGGGGACATGGGACATGGCTCGCTGCCCGAAGTGAGCACGCGGCGGCAATCGCGTCACGCGGCATCATGACAGCTGTGGCTGGGAGCCTCAAATTGGGACCTGGGGACCCAAGGTAGCGGAGATTTTGAATAGAATAGTATGGCAAAGAACATAATAGACCAAAATTTGATTAATTAGTTGGTGATACACAATTCATATTAGAATAATTCGTTCCATTACCAGTATCCCAAATGTGATTAGTTGGATAGATTAATGGATGGACCATACTGCACAAATCATGAAGGGTTTCCTGTAAATGGTCAAGGGACAGTTGATCAGCTGGAGAGAGAGAGAGAGAGAGAGTTGCTGATCAACCCGGTGCAGGGCATTTCTGTTGCCACTGCATCTCACCAAATACCGGCAAGTTGGGACACCCTTTGTTGCTACACTAAATGCTCAAAGAATTGATAGGAGATTCATCTACCCAATTTTCAGGTATTTGGTTTTGTATATATATATATATATAATATAAATATAAATATAAATATGAATATATAATTATATATATATAATATATATATATATAAAGCCTGGGTCCTTGAAAATTCGAGGCACATTGACTTGCCCCTCTGAGGCTCCCATGTTTGAGTTGCCAGTGCCAGCGTGGAATGTGCCGGTTTTTGACGCTCAGACGCATCTCTCAACTGTGTTGAGGGAAGCATCAGTGCACCGACCATGATGGATCTACCACATATACAAATGGTGTGATAGCTACTTGGACCCCGAAAGTTGTTTATAATTACATATAATTATATACAACCACTATGGCTGGGGACATTCCAGATGGTCACTGGGTTGGAATATGATTATTAGTCGCTTACCAACTGGGATGCACCCCCAAAGAGCCGCAGGTCATTTCACAAGAAACCCGATCGAAATTAATTTCGAATGGTGGACGTCCATTTGGCAATGGGAAAGTTATTCACACAATTTCACACATCGGTAGATACTCAGTAGACTCAGTAGATACCTCCCAGAATTGGCTTAAGGAACAATTTTTGTCAGAAAAACCGACCATTTGGGTGTAAAACGCATGGTTTCCCATCGATTTTCCCTCGATTTTCCCAATCTCCTCCCATCTGAAACCGGGGCGCCGAGGCCATATACCCTGTGGTGCCCATGCCATTGGCACTGCCTGTGGCGACTTGTCCAGCATTTGATCTGGTCAATGACCAGAGGGTACCCTCTGGTAATTTAACATAGCTATTGAAAATGGCAATTTATAGTGGATTTTCCCATTGAAAATGGTGATTTTCCATAGTTATGTTAGTTTACCAGAGGGTACCTTCCAAAAATTGATGTCAGAGGCAAAGTCAAAACCTTTCTGGGGGTTGATTTGTTCCTCTGAAATCAACGACGGGTGCCATGTCTTTGAGCTTGGCACCTGCTGTCGCCATAGGTGGGTATGGCGACGCCATTTCACTGGCAGGGCACAGAGGATGAAGGTTCAAGAATGAGCCTCTTGACGGTTTTTCAGCGAGGGTGCTGGGTTAGGCTTGCTTTTACACATCTCGATCCCCACCCTTACAACAACTACCTTCTATTTTCGATGTGGGAAGATCTGCAATGGTTGCATCTTTTGCTGGCCAGCAATCCAGCTCGCCCTAGCAATTCTAATAGTCAAGCTTTTCTTGGTTTCGACTGTCAGTGTCAGAACATGGCCAACGCTGGCAGCAATTTCACAAGCAGAATCTAAAGGAAGCCACTTGGTACAGAGCGTTTTCACACCATTTGTTTTGACAGGAGCCACAGCCATCCGGAAGAACAGTTGAACAAAACATAGCAAAACCATTCAAAATCATAGGACCATAGGACGATAAGCCACAGAACTTTGGCCAGCACTCATCGGACTCATCGGCTATTGCCTGAGAACCCAGAAAATCCAAGGAAAGGCCATGGCAGCGATGCCGGTTCATTTTTCTCTCTGCATCTTGGCAGATGTTGTAGCAAATGATTATGATGTTAATAGTCAATAGATATTGAATGATATTGATATGTTTGGAGTTTCTATAGTTAGCGTATCTTCCGCTGATTTTTTACTCCCGAAAAAAACAACCAACTGTTCCCAGTTTGCAGAACGAGGCGAGGAGCCTCGGAGAAAGATCCTGTGCTACGGTGTGGCTCGGCATGAAATGATTTATGACTGGAGGGGCCAGGGGTGGTTGGGCCAACGCATGCAATGCCACGAATAGGCAACAAAAACCACAACCTAAGATCCTAGTCAAGGAGATGGGCGCTCCTCTTCCATTACAAACGAGCATGTTTGAAGCTCCGATTCGACATGATAAGGAAATTGGTCGTGACACCGCTTGGTTTGTTGTAAAGGGGGTAGTGGACATATGAGACTCGAAAAAAACACTACACCAATTTCCTCAACATCGAGCATTCAAAGTGTCAACTGCAGATGGGTTCAACCTTTTAGTACTCAGAGGATGGGTGGATACCACATGGCGAATGACCAAAACCCAGTGGTTTTGGTCAATTTTTCGAACCTTTGCCTCTAAACTCACCAGATTCAAGGAATGTTGAAATCAAACCATTGTTTTATGGTTTTGATCTACATTTAGCTAGACTTTTTATGGTTTTTATATGTTTTTACCTACCATTTCTGTAGGCTTCGCCCCCCAAACCCTCAAGTGACGGCCCAGGACAGCCTCACGGCCGGCTTCTTCGCCGGGGGCCTGAAATTCGACCCCTACGGGCGGACCATGTCTGAGGTCCGGTGTCGATGCGGTGATTTACCACATTTTTATAACAATGATGTGGAAGTATCTACATCTAACCATTGATAAATTGAGGTAAACATGTGGGCTAAATTGGGTCAACTGGAAGTATCTGCATACTTAATGATATCTATAGTGTATCATCTATGATAATCAAATGATGATGTCTACATTGTAGTGAACAAAACATTGATGTGGGTAAAACAATGCCATAAACCACCCATGACCGGGAATGGTACCACCTATAAATATGGTGAAATTGGGGATGCATTGTTTTACCAACATTAGACAATGTTAGATAACCCATTACGTAGATAGATCTAATATATTACCATTACAATGTATTGCTAGTATATATCACATGAATAGCAAGTAAATGGTTATATATTAGATATTTATCGTAAGATGTACTGCAATCCACATTACAAGCACCATTCGATAAAATAATAAATACATGATATTTGTAATCTTACCATCTTGAATTGCCGGAGGCTAGGTGATTTACAGTGAACACTGCGGTTTGTTCCTGGTAGGTTCTGGCTTCTGGAGGAATCTATGCGCAGGCAAAACGGTGAACACATTTGGTGGGTGACAAACTATGGGTTCAACCAAGGGCTAACCAAGGTGAAAAGACATACCCTCTGGTAAACTAACATAGCTATGGAAAATCACAATTTTCAATGGGAAAATCCACTATAAATCATCATTTTCAATAGCTATTTTGACATAACCAGAGGGTACTTGGATGCCTTTGCTGTGTGGCTTCGCCACCGTCGTGGCGCAGGTCTCGGTGTGTGGGCACAGTGGCTGCACCACACGAGAGATGCTGGATGCCGCGGAAACAGATCCTAGATCTGAAAGTCAACCAGCACCTTTCTGCTTTGCAGCTGGTTGAATTAATGGCACATATACTGTAGATTTTCTGAACGCCGAGTCTCAGGGGTTCCTGCAGTTGGTATATATTGGACATCCTTGCTGGAGCCAAGGACCTTGCAGATGTAGTGGGCTGCACAGGACTGGCCAATCCCGAGTTTGAAACCACGGTGTCAACTCCTCACCTGACCAAGATTGTCCAAGTGGATACAAACTTATCCCAACTAGGAGCGAATACCTATGAATTTCTAAGCCAAACGGATCCTATTCTTTTTCGATCGCTTTTCATGAGCCAGAAAGGATAGAAAAGTAGCAGCGATACATGGCGCCGTGGCAGGCAATGGCCTCTGCAAGATCTTGGCTGAGCAGGACTTTGTGGCTTGGTATCAGCCGTGCCAGTTCTGGGGCAAGCGATCTATCCAATAATATCCAGTTATAGCTCATCATTCAACTGGGAAATCGCCAAAGTAACAAATAGGATGGGTAAAGCTCCTAGGTCCTAGTTGTAACAAGTAATTCTGCAGTCATTCAACCAAAAAAACAGCCCGATTGTCTGGGATTTGCTCAAGATTCCATCTACCTGGGCCTGAGGATCTAGTTATCATCATGTCCGGCACCAACGACATGGGTAGAGGCACCCATTCCGACGCCATTGTGGAGGACCTTGCCCTCTAGGTAAGAGGTCCTGCCAACTTTTGATGGGCAATTCATGAGATTTTACGGAACATCAACACCATAGCTGGTGGATCTACTCACATAGTCTCATTTGATCTTTGGGGGATGGGAAAAAATGGTCAGTGGGAAACTATTTGATCATGAAAAGACCATAGTTAAGAATGCAAAAGGGTCCACAAGATACCTTCTCAGTATAGCTTGTGTCCAACTTGTATCTGACCCATTTCTTTAGAGAGACGTATTTTTTTCACTATCCATTCCTAGGCCTTGTTTCAGCATCAGGACCTGAGCCAGTTGCACGCCATTTGCCATAGTCAAGGCATGGCCGAATGCTGGGAATGCTGGGCCCCCTGGGCTGCTTGGCATAGGCCCCCTGTGTCCCTCAGAGCCTCTGAGCCCCGGACCCGAGAGAGACTGGTTTCCAAAACGGGCAACTTGGGAGCCATGTCGCCTTGGCTCCAGGTGTACCAACGCTGGCGTTGGCACCACCTTCAGCCCCTAGATTTGATTTCTCACAGGCTGCGGTGGGCTCGGTCTGAAAAGTCGCTGAATGGCTTTGGCCAAGGGGGTCGCAATGCCTGGTAATCTTGGCAATTTTCAGCATCTTGCAGTTGACTTGGGGGTCACCAAGTGTTTGCAAGCATCCAAAGAGACACTTTTTGCCTCCATGACTTCTGTGACTTGCGGAGGAGATGCAACGTCAATACATTCACAGCCAGTGGCCTGGTTATCTTTGGTCAGGGATGGACGGATAGTTTGAGGCGTTGCCTCAAAAAAAAACATAAACTGCAGGTAAGAATTGGTTGTTTTGGAGTTTTGGGGCTTTAATTCATGGGATGTGGTCAATGAGGAAAGTTGGATAGGTGCCATCTGCTTGGTGGTGTTTGGTGATGGTCCCGACCCTTAAAGCAACATGCCTCAATATGCCAAATATGTGCCAATTTCAGAATGATGCTTAGATGCACATGTGGGATGTCTAAACCTGGACTTGTGATGATCTCACCAACAGACCCCATGCTGCAACACAGGCTTTGCAGCCTGGCCAGCACCACGCCGTACCTTTTGGGCTGCATCGACCCAGCTGACCCTTGGAGAAATTTCTGGCGCCGAATCGACCAACGATCGTTTGGTCCAGTGGAAATCGAACGGAATCAGAAGCCATTCCCAAATTTACGATGAATGGGTGGTCACCATCAATTTTATGGGTGGCTTATGGCATTGCTTTCCTAACATTCTAGGGTCTCATCAGTTGAGCCCCGCTTACGGCATTTCCTTCTGAACAATCCAGGGTGTCAATTCTAGCCGCCCTCCCCCAACTGCCGCAGTTGGGCACAGCTTAGGAGCTGGTGTCTGTAGCAGATGGACAATTCTGGGAGAGCGACGGCCTACACTTTGCGCCAAGGGGCTCGCAGGTGGCCCTACTAAACCTCCGGGCCAGTTGGAGTAGCGCCACCCTCTGGTGTTCTCCAAGATTTTGCTAAGGAAAATGACCCATGTGTAGAGATTTATATATATAGATGATTTAACCCCCAACAGAATATCTGAATATTTTTCGCCTGCCCAAGAGCTGAAACAATGAATTTCCGGTGGGACGCCCCAACCAGCCACAACCTTTGAAGGTGAGATCCCAAGTGTTGAATGTCATGTTTGTTCTCGTCTAAGAATCCCGTTGCGGTTGGTTACATTCCCATGTTTCTTATTCTGCACTTTCTCGGGTTGGTCAAAGCTCACCTCTTCTATTTCTGCCATTCGAATGCTGCGCTTAAATCCTCCTTTTCGGTGGCTCAAACTCTCCATATCTTGATTTCTTGTGGCCAAAAAATACTCCCCGTTGGGGTAATGTCTAGCCATTTTTGTTTCCAATTTTCTCGGCAAGGTGCTGGGGCAAAACTTGGCCCTGCTGGTTGCATCCTCACTGGCGGACAACTCCCCAGATGTCACCGCTTGAATCTCTCACTGGTGGCAGCTGATGGTGATCTTTTGAGTAATGTAACCTCCAGTAAACTCACAGTGTGCTGCTATGGAAAATGGATGAAACATGATGAACCATAGTTCGATGGTTTGCCTATTAAAGAGGTGTTTTTCCAGGCTACGAAGTGTAAGTTTACTGGAGGGTACTGCAACCAACTGAAAGATGACCTACCCGTTGTTTTTTGGGGCTTATCAACCCCAAGAACCACTATACAAGGATATATAAGGCACACTAACAAACTTGTAATCAGCTTGTACGCCTTGAAGGTGTTGGGACCAGCGACGAGTGGATCAAAAAAGATCACCCAAGCTAAGTGTATATAGCTAGAGCAGCTCGTCTGCGGCAAGTCCAAAACCCCCCAAGGCCCCAAAGTGCTTTGATTGAAAGCTTTACCATAGAGAATGACTTGGACCTTGCTCTAATTCGTGCCAAGAAGCCTCATCCTCAACGAAACTGGGATTGAGGCCTGGCAACCGGTGCCCCAGTTAGGGGCTCACGCCACGAAACTTTTGGCACCATCCAACCATTGCTGGAAATTCGTGGCAGCACCAGCCAGCTTCGAGTCCTTTTTTCGACTCATTGGCAGATGCTGAAAGTATCTGACAGCATGGCAGCTCAATAGTGGACGTACATAGTGTACCACACAGTGGAACAGGAGCGAGGATGGATGCCGGAATTTTGCCCTGTCATCCGGCCGCATGACCAGATTGACCAGGCGTCCAAGGGTTTTTCTCTCAGGTTCCAACAGATCCGCGGCCGGTGACGGTGGATGTCCAGCTTTCAATGGATGAATCCTACAGTTCGGAGCTGTTCAACTGCTCCGGACCTCGGTGTGTTCAGCGACATCAATACCCCAAAGAGGATGTCACTTACGAACTCCAGGGAGGGTCAAAGATGGTCAAAGATGGTCGATGTGGTTTTTTGGTACACCAAAAAACATCAACCGATGGGCTTTCTGCCTCCTGGTATGGTTCAAATCTGCTGAGATTTGGCACTTTTGACCGTCTGCCAAAGTCACACCAGGGAGCACCCCCTGGTAGCGCCAGTTCAGCTATCTTCAGCTCCTTTTTGGAGGCAACTCGCTGGGCGAGCCCGGAGGCAGTACTCAACTTGACAGGATGCACGTTCAGAGTTGCCATTGCATCATATTGCATCTAGAGATTTTTGATTGAACATTTACACCTGACAAGATCTATCAAGATCTCTTCAGATCTATGGTTAACCTACCATGACTAGGGATGGTGAGGTCATAGCAGTCCAAAATGGTGATGCCTTGGGGATGGTTCATATTCAGAACCAACAATCCGTGAACCCAGGGAGACACATGAAACATGAAAGCGCGCGGATCCCGAACCGACCAATTTTTGGAGGTCACCCCTCTGAAAACCACGCAGGGAAACTATTGGTGACTGTGAGATCCTGTAAATACTGGGATTATAACCGGATAAATTTAAACCATCTACATCTATCTACCAACTGGTGCAGGATTTCTTCCATCCACAGTTTGTTAAATCACTACAGGGTATCAATGGGTTTGGGAGTTTTCCCCTGATTTCCCCTGTAATTTCAGGCAAACCCATGTATGAGCTGCAACCATGGCGAGAAATGTGTGAATACCTCACTGGCGCGTGGTAGAATCGAGTTCCGGCATTTTTCGTTTCTTTGGTTGTTCCTGGTTGCGGTTCTGTGGGGGTTGAGAGCATTAGGCGATAGCCAACATAGAGGTCAGCGGCTTTTTCTGAGGATTGTTAACCCCAACAGTAGGTTTGCATACTATGGGTGGTTCAATTTCTATCTTCACACGAAAGATGATGCAAGCGTCGGACTTCCGAACGACGCTTGCCACTCCAGTGATCTCCAGTCGGTGATGTTATGGTGGTTCCCCTGTGGAAGTTTGGTATCCGGTTAGCGGCCTCTGGGCGAACTCAACTCTGGCGAAATTGGGCGAATACAGTACCCGGTACCATCAGACATGGAGGAAAAGATCGGTTGGACCGTGGTGACCTGCAGTGACTTGCAGTGACTTGTAGCCTCCAAACCTCTTGAATCATGAATCACTCCCTGCTACATCTGCGGCCCAATTCTGACCTGCGCTAGGTGGAAGCGTCTGAGACCGCGCCAGGGGTCAACCCCGGTTTCACTTCAAAACTGTCATATTTTTGTCGATTTCTTCGAAGGATGGGAGCGATCACTGGCTAAAGCTGGCTCAAGGAATGTGGTTCACGTGAAGTAAATCAAAACTCTCGAAGCTCTCGAAGCAAAAGCAGCCGAAAGATATCGCTTCACGTGTGGTGGTTTGAGCATCTTCAACATTGAGCATCTTCAACGTGGAACTGGTTTTATGTAAATTCTTTGGCTTTATCTAGTATGACCATGTAACATCATGTAACATCATGTATGATTACTGTATGATCAACAAAGATTTGGCGTCGCCCAGTTTGTTTCGTTTTCATGTTCATCGCCTTGTCGCTTTGTGCTTTGTGGATCCTGAGGTGATGATGTTTCGTCGGAGCGCCCAGACGTGGAGCAGAGGAAGGTCCTGGTGCTTTACAGAAAATCCAGCGACATGTCGCAGCTGGACACCAAAAAATCATGCTAGGAATCCAATAGGGAGCTTTTTTTTCCCAGCTTCCATCTTGAAAATTGGTGCCAAAAGTCCTAATTGTGAAGTACCGGAAGTTCACTTTCTGGAGGCCTTTTCAGCCCAGGTTCGATCCATATGGATGCTGGTTTCATCATGTTTCATCCCCACTTTCGTTCTTTCATGTTCTAATTCCAAGCGTTGCAGGAAAACCTCTCCTTTATGTTGCATTACTTTAACATACTTTAACCATCCCCGTGGCAATTTCCACTCTAGAACTGGTGATCTTTAACCTTCATTGTCCATTTTGCTGCTTCATCCTTTGCCTCATCCTTGGGATTTCGAGGCCCGTGGATGCCACCCCGCAGGCAACTGGTAGGGCCGGTAGATGATGAAACTGGATGAAACTGGTGAGGGTTGAAATCCGCAACAAGAGTGTCAGTTGACTCAGAGAAATGAAGGCTTGAAATGATTTGAACGCCACAGTTGGCTAATTTCCGACTATAATTACTATACTTGGTTGATGTTGGCTGTATCCCATTGCCCATTGATATCCCATTGATGTCCCATTGCCTCATTTCCAAAGCCTGTTTGATCTTTCGACAGGTCAAGAAGCTCCTGGAACTGGAGCGGGAAGCCTCCGAGGCGCCGGGAAACAATGGGCATCGAAACTTTCGACGGTCCTACCCTCGGAGTTTCTGGCCTGCCAGGCCTTGGATCCTGAGGAGGCGGTGGTCATCAACGCTATGGCCGCTATGGCCGTTGTTGATCCATTGTATGATCAAGTTGTTAAACCACTTTTTGTGATTCCAAAGCTTCGAAATGGGCCATTCAGTCCCTTCGTGTCTTGTACATTGTTGCTGTTTGTCAATTTCTTGAAGGCTGAAAGGAAGAAAGCTGAAGAGGCAAGAGTAGCGGAAGAAGCTCGGCTTGCGGAAGAAGCGCGGCTAGCTGAGGAAGAACGCCTTGCCAAAGAGGCAAGACTGGCTGAAGAGGCACGGTTAGCTGAAGAAGCTAGGCTTGCCGACGAAGCAAGGCTGGCAGAAGAGGCAAGGATAGCTGAAGAAGCCAGACTTGCGGAAGAAGCTCGGGTTGCAGCATTGTCAGAGGAGGCAAGGGCAGCCGAACTAGAGGCCAAGAGGAAAGAGGAGGAAAGGCTGCTTGGCTTTGAACTTGCAAATATGATTATGTGTATATTGTATGTATATATAATTATATATATATCATACGCAATTTATATAATCATATTGTTATTTGCTTGGTTTCCGCGCGTAAGTCCAAAGCCACCACCACTTGTAAGCGTGTGGTGAGGTTGGCCGAAGAAGCAAGGCTTGCAGAAGAAGCAAGACTTGCAGAAGAGGCAAGATTAGCTGAAGAAGCTAGGCTTGCAGAGGAAGCCCGCTTAGCGGAAGAGGCACGCCTCGCTGAAGAAGCACGCCTGGCTGAAGTAGCGAGGCTTGCAGAGGAAGCTCGGTTGGCGGAAGAAAGAAGAATAGCTGAGGAGGCCCTTGGGTTCTTTTGATGTAATGAACTTTGCCGCTTTCCTATCTTTCCTAAAGTACCCGTGCCAAGTTTGCCGCTTGGTTCTTCAAGGAGCAAACACATGGGTATGGTGGCCCCTATGACGCAAGCATTTGGCCGATTCATGTCTTTCATCCTTTGTTCGAAGATTGTCATCAGCCTTTCTCCATTGCTATGTGCATTCGTGGACTGTTCGGGCAGGCCCGAAAGCTAGAGGAGGAACGTTTGGCGAAGGAAGCGGCGATTCGCGCGGAAATCGAGGCTTACTCTGCGATTCGCAATGTGACGCTGGTACTACCCAACAGATGTATCATGTGTGGGTGATCAAAAACCCAATTGGAGTTGTTTCTTCGCTTTGCTCCATAAAAATACCCCTTGGTAATTCAACATGGTCTTTTTTCATCCTTGTTCCAGGGCGCAGTCCAAGAAGAATTGACGGCTTGCGATTTTTTCGGGGTGGTTGCTTATTGGATCTTAGATCCTATTGGCTTTACCACTTGGGGATGGTTTTGCTGCTGCTCTGGTGGATTTCCCCGTTTCGAGAAAACCCCGTTCGAGGCCAAGAAGCAAAAGGTGAATCAACGCACGGACGAGCGCGGCTGCATCACCTGGGAGGTGAATACCTGGAGCTCAGCTTGGGTTCTGAGGTGATCAGAAGTGGTAATGGTGGTTAATAGTGACATAGTGGTTAACAATGATTAAAAACGGCGAAAATGATTGTTCGTCATAGTGGTTAACAGTTAATAATAATTCTTCATAACTGTTAAGAAGAGTTAATAACTGGTGCAAATAATGGCGAATAATTTTGGTTAACAACGGTTAGTACTAGTATTGGTTAGTAATGGTTGGTAATTATCAGTAATGGCTAAAATCCGCAGCCATTTGTTGAACTTGGTGAACCCAATGCCATTTGGGGTTGGAATTCCAACCCCAAATGGTAGGGCATTGGGTATATGATCGGGGATATATATATATATACGTATATATATATATATGGATATGATTATAGATGTATGTTACCAATGGGGATGTGGATGGGTTGTGTGAGTGGTTTTTCCTGACTTTTCAAGCGTTTCATCGGTGGATTTTGGGATGGTATGAGTGGTGGCGTTTAGACAGGCCGCCAGAGGTGCTGGATACATGCGAAACGTATGCATTTCAGGGTCTGGGTTACGTGCGAAACTTTTCATTGTAGGAGGTTTCCAACTCATGATATTTTGCCATCAGAATGCTGTAATGCACATACGCTGTGGTAATCACCGGGATTTCGCCATGTTTGATGCTGCCCTGACAAGTCGCAGCCCGCAGCCCTTCCCCCAAAATTGGGCCAGCTCGGCCCTCATTCCCATCCCAATTACTTAGGTTTACATTTATCAATCAACATTTCATATGAAGAATTCATCTCTGATAGATGACACATTCCTAGGGAATAGATGAGAAATTCTAAGTATAATTGCGCGCGCACACACACACATATATATATAGTCTATTTTCTTCTGACATTTTAAGCTGGCTGGACTTTACTCTTGTCGATAATTATCCCAGGAAAAGGCTCAACGTTCTTCCATCCGCAGGTGGATATCCTGAAAGACGAGGGTGAGGCCTTTGGCTTCTCCCACAGTCACGGCAAGGTGCAGTTCAACCGCGCCCGTGGAGCGCATGGCACTGGTGAAGGGTTCTGGGCACCCAGAGGAACTGCCTATTTGGCGGTGGCGGTGGGTTGTTTTAAGCCGGAAATTTGGGGAAACCCTAGATAAATCCACTCTATAATGATGATTTTGCCATGTGTGCTCCGTTTTCAGACACACACACAGACACGGTTTTTTGAGTTTTCATGGTGATCTCCATTTCCACACACCTGGCCTTTTTGTGTCTTGTTAATGTTTCATGTTTGAGCAACGGCATCCCAAGATTGAATGAATGCACATAACTGTGCTGGGTCTGGGAGCGAGCAGCCTTGGGAGGATTTATAACCCCAACTGGTTGCACCTCAGGGGTACCTTTCGCAGGTCAAATTTGCCCGGCCTCTGCAGCAAAATTTTCAGGGCAACGCTTAGGGAGGCAAACTCCTAACAGCAACCTTTGCCTGTGAAGACGCGACTGGTGGTCGGAATCTCTCCAACATGGCGCTGAAGCTTATGTCACTGGAACAGCGCCGGGAGATGGGGGAGGGTCTGGTGGCATGTGGCAATGGGTGTGCTGCGTGACCGGGCAAATAGTTCTTTTTGGGTTTAGTGTGTCCTAGTCATAGCCGATGGATTTCCCATGATGCTGTTGAGGGAGGCTCCAGAATGACAACAGGGCAGCGGAAGCAATCACTCTTGGACGGTTGTTGGTATTAGACTTCAAGACTAGGGGACATGTAGTTTGGAATCCCAGGTCTCTCTTCTGCACCATCAGGAAAAATGTCAGGATTCTAGGCGCGCAACCACCAGTCAACCAGTTCCACAACTCAGGTATCGCTCGACTTTCATTGATGCTTGGCTTCAGAAAGGTATAGCCCCAGAAATAACTGCAGGTGGCTGATGGACTTGTTCAATTGGGTTCCTGGACCCGCAGCACACAAACACACATAGTTATCGAGGGAAGTTTAGAAGTCAAACTTCCGACAATATGGGCAGATGAAAAGCAGAGATGGGAAGAGTCAGAGAGAAGAGAGGAGTAGAAGAGAGAAGATCAGAGAAGAGAAAGAGTCAGAAGAAAGAAGATGCAGATGCGCGAAAAGGTAGGAAAGTCGGGAAACACTGTGTTTTTCCAATGATTTGTGGCTCCGGAGGGTCGAAAAGTAGGCTCGCTAAAGCGGCGGCTGCGGAGCCAAAATGTTGTGGCGCGAAGCACATTTCGAAGTCAAAATGTACAAAGCACACCAGTCTCGGACCACTTTTGGAAGTTCAGATGTCGAAAAACTGCACGCCGTTGTGGCGCGAAGCACATTTCGAAGCCAAAATGTACAAAGCACCTCAGCTTCGGAGCACTTTCAGAAGTTGTGATGTCGAAAAAGTGCACGCCGTTCTGGCACGAAGCACGTTTCGAAGTCAAAATAACATGAAAACCACTAGGGGTTCGGACCACTTTTGGACGTTAAGATGTCGTTTTGCGTGGCAGGCGCAAGGGATTGTGCACCTTCTCAAAAGTGAGCAAAACGTGAGGGTTTTGTAGCATTTCCAAAAACGATGGCAGGCGTGGGACATTTGAAGAGGATCTGGAAAGATGCATTTTCCGTGGCAGCCGCAGTACAAGAGACATGTTCATCAGAGCTGTTAGGAGGTCCGGGCGTTGATTTCCCGAGAGGGGTTGCATTTTGGAGCATCAGATCTTCAGGTTTGCTGAGATGATTTTGCGTGACAGGTGCAGCACTTCGTATGACCTGGCATCACTTTTTCGTGGCAGGCGCAGTAGTTTAGACAGATGGACTGGAAGTCGGAAAAATCGCAAAACGCATTGGTACGAGGCCATCAGCGTTGCATGCAACTTTCCATTTTTGAAGGAAGTCTCGCAGAATTGCTTCGTTTTTGATGTTGTCAAGTTTGAAAAATGAAGAAGTCTCGCAGAATTGCTTCGCTTTTGATGTTGTCGAGTTTGAAACAAGATTAAGCCCACGAACCCGAATGCTCACACGTATGTGGAAGATAACGATGTTAAAGGATCGATTATGACAGGAGGTGAAAATGTTAATTCTGTCATGAACTGTGAATGCTTGACGTTCTCTTGCAATTGAGCACAGCCGAAATGTTTGCCGACACAGAACCAAAAATATATAAACGACACTGTGTGAAATCTGTATGAGTCCGCACAACAACTTTCCACCTTCAACATAATCGCACTCTTGCCAAATCTTTACAAACCGCAAGCCTCACTGAACCAACAGTCCAGTACATTCGAAATTTGAAACCTTGGCAAAGGAGACATTTTGCAACTTCCCCAATAGACACGGCGACGCCACAGGAAAACCAGAGACTCAAAACGAGACACGTGGGTGCAGAAAAACGAACATTTCATGCGAGACTTCATCCAATTTTGACATTTTCGGCACGTTATCAAACAGGTTGGAATGTCACAAAGTGCCACGCCTGCCATGCAAAACGACATGACAACCTGCGTGGAAACATTCGAAAAGGAGAGGTTTTGCGGCTTCCCCCATAGACACGGCGACGCCACAGGAAAACGAGAGACGCGCGCGACAAGACACGTGGATGCAGAAAAAACAGCATTTCGTGCGAGACTTCCTCCAATTTTGCAATTTTGTGAACAGCATCAAACAGGTTGGAATGTCAAAAAGTGCCACGTCTGCAGCCACGCAAAACAACATGACAACCTGCTTGGAAACATTCGAAAAGGACAGGTTTTCCAGCTTCCCCCATAGACACGGCGACGCCACAGAAAAACAAGCGACTCGAGACAAGACACGTGGATGCAGAAAAACCAGCATTTTGTGCGAGACTTCTGGCAATTTTCACAGTTGGCAACTTGGCAACACGACAAAAAGACAAGTTTTGCAGCTTCCCCCATAGACACGGCGAGGCCACGGGAAAACCAGACACGCGAGAAGAGACAGGTGGGAGCACCAAAACGAGCATTTCGTGCGAGACTTCCTCCAATTTTCACACTTTGCAGCTTCAAAATCGACGTTTTCCTACGAGTTTTCCTTAGAACCTGAAAATTTGCAACCTCAAAATCGATGTTTCGTGCGAGGCTTCCGTCAATTTTCAGCACATGTCAGAAAATGCCACGCCTGCCACGGAATTTGCACCTTGTCACCACTTGACGCAGCCCTGCCAATGCGATTTACAAAAAACACGCAACAGGACACGTCTAAAGTGCTGCGCCTGCCACGAAAAATGACGATGGACACGTCCAAAGTGCTGCGCCTGCCACGAAAACTGCAACACATCTTCTGAAAACGTCACAAAAGTATTGCGCCTGCCACGCAAAACGATTTTCAACACGTTGCAAAACATGTCTGAATGTCACGAAGTGCCACGCCTGCCACGCGAAACGAAGCAACGACACGTCTGAAACCTCCAAGAATGACCACCTCTCCAGAACTTCCCATAGGCACGGCCATACGGTCCTCACACGAACGGTTGCGAACGGTTGCGGACGGTTGCGATCGTGAACGCAACGTCGAGCGAACACACCCTCAACCCCCAGACCCCCAGAGTGAAATGGGAACCCTTGCTACGCATTCCGGAAAATGAAGAAGTCTCGCAGAATTGTTTCGTTTTTGACGTTGTTAAGTTCAAAAATTGAGGAAGTCTCACAGAATTGCTTCGTTTTTGATGTTGTCAACTTTGAAAAATGAAGAAGTCTCGCAGAATTGCTTTGTTTTTGATGTTGTCAAGTTCAAACATTGAGAAAGTCTCGCAGAATTGCTGCGTTTTTGATGTTGTCAAGTTCAAAACCTGAGGACGTCTCGCAGAATAGCTTCCTTTTCAAGCTTGCAGATAGACAGGTAGATAGATAGATAGAGAGACAGACAGACAGAAAGATAAATAGATAGGTAGATGGGGAGATAGATAGATACATATTTAGATAGACAGACGAGATAGATAGATAGCTAGATAGATAGACAGATAGATAGATAGACAGATAGATCGATAGATAGATAGACAGATAGATAGACAGATAGATAGATGGATGGATGGATGGATGGATGGATGGATGGATGGATAGACAGCTAGATAGATAGATAAATAGATAGGTAGATAGATAGACAGATAGATAGATAACTAGATAGATAGACAGACAGACAGACAGAGAGAGAGAGAGAGATAGATAGATAGATAGATAGATAGAATAAATGCATGGATAGATAGACAGACAGACAGAGAGAGAGAGAGAGAGAGAGAAAGAGAAAGAGAGAGATAGGTAGATAGATAGATAGATAGGTAGATAGATAGGTAGATGGGGAGATAGATAGATACATAGTTAGCAGAAGGGCGGTCTGGGAGAATTTCAACCGTGACCGGGCAACCGTGGCTGACCGTCCCGGTCGGCCGGGCCACGGTCACCCGGCCGACCGGGCAACCGGAAAAGGGCAACCGGGCCACGGTCAGCCGGCCAACCGGGCAACCGGAACGGGCAACCGGGCCACGGTCAACCGGCCAACTGGGCAACCGGGCCACGGTCAACCGGGCAACCGGCAACCGGGCCACGGTCAACCGGCCAACCGGGCAACCGGAACGGGCACTGGGCCACGGTCAACTGGCCAACCGGGCAACCGGAACGGGCAACCGTGCCCCGGTCAACCGGGCAACTGGAACACGCAACCGGGCACGGTCAACCGGGCAACCGGTCAACCGGGCAACCGGAACGGGCAACCGGGGCACGGTCAATCGGGCAACCGGAACGGGCGGGCCAACGTGCACGCACCCGACACTGAGGGAGATTCCCCCCTTCATGTCGCGGCCGCATACGGCAGTGTCGCCAGCGTGCGTTTATTGCTTGCAGCTTCAGCACATGTAGGCGCTGCGAACTTGCGTCTTGAAACAGCGCTGACAACCGCTGTTGACACAGGGGCCCAGGCTGGTGTGGTCGCCGTTCTGATGCAAGCAGACTGGCCAGACGCATGGCGCACGGTGTTGCTCATGAACCTATCCATTCTTTGTCGTGCACTGGGCACACCGCGGTTTCGACTTTTTGCTGTCTGTCGTGCTCTGTCTTACCACCAAGAATTCTATCCTCTCTGGGGAAGCCAGATTAATGGCAAGTGCGAAAATGCTAATAAGGCTTTCGTCGTCAGCTCATTTCCGCACAATTCAACCAATTTGAACAAGTGTTTTGAGCTACAAGCAGGCGCAACCAGTTTGGCAGGCACGCCCCTCTGGTGTGATAGGCACGATTCTGAGGAGCATTGCCAATGCCACCCTTGCCACACTGCTGGAGGGGGCACTGCGCGTGGTTCCTCCCATGTGTGCTTAAAAGGGGGTGCTTGCCACTTGCCACTGGCTCATGCAAGATCCTTTTGTTCAGTTGCACATTGTGCAGTTCGTATGTGCCTTGTCAGATTTTCTGCACTTGTCACACGAGTTTGCCAGCGCATTCGCATTCTCTTAAGCAATGAGCGAGTTGTGAGTTCTTTTCGCTTCTCCCTCCATGAATGCGCTTGTGAGCGTCTGTGCGCAAACAAAGTCATCATCATGATGGAAGACCCTCGTCGCAACGTCCCTGTTTCGACTCTTGCAACGACGTTGCCACAGCGCTGGAGATTCTATTTTTCCAGTTGCGGCTTGCCTCCCAAGCTCTTGTGGACTTCCAGTTCTCCTTCAATTCGGCTCTTTACCGTGCGCAATTTCATTGCCAGCGCTACTTTCGCATGCGCGTGAGGCAACTCTATACATTGGACTTGGAGCTCGTATTGATCTTCGTCCCGCGGCTTCAAGCGTAGAGTTGCGTCACCGATTCGCAGTTGTTTTCACCCTGCGCCGCGGATGGTGTAGTCAGGTGGAGTGGTGCAGCCATGTGGGCTCCCTGCGAACGACGCAGATCCAACCGCTTGATTTCCGGCCACCGTCATGCTTTTCATTTCGCATAACTGATCTAGCGTTTGAGTTGTTTGGCCCGTCCATCGGTCCCGCAAACTTAATTTCCAAGTTTGACTTTCCAACTCGTTTGTTTTTCCCAACTCAGGACCGCATGTGCCTCTTTGCGTGTTTGCATGCTAACGATGTCGCCTCTGTTGACCATGATGATGCTCTTTCTTGGGTGCAACCCATCGCCCCACTTTTAGAAGAAGCCAGAGCAGTACAACACCGCCTCTCCATCGCAAGTCTGTTGGGCCGATGTTGCAGGAGGTTGCTGGGAAGTTCTGCCACAAGCATGCCAGCTGCTTACAATGGAATATTTTGCAGAGCTCGCCAGATTGCTCCGATTCATTCCCGCACACCGGCTTGCAGCAGATCTTCTTTCAACTGCAGTCATGGGCGCCGGACTTCCTGCGTCGCTTTCCCCTTGCTCTTGTGCTCGGTTTTGTTTAAGTCAGGCCTTGCAAGCCCTCCTTCAACAAGGGTTTCCACTCCGCAAGCAGCTGGTTCTATCTCCACACAGCTTCCCGTCGCGTCACCGTGGGTGGCAGGCCTTCCAGTCTATTGATTTGCGGCACATTGTCTGGATGGCGGAGCGCCTCTCTCCGTGCGTTTCCACCGTTGTGATATCCCTTTCTCACGCGTTGCGACAACGCGCGCGCTTGCAAATTGGAATCGGGTTTTCAACTGCCGATGCTCCAGCAACTGTTGCTTGGCCGGACTTGTTTAGCCCGCAAGATCCATTTCAACAATGCGGCATCCAGTTATACCTCGTTGAATCTGTTTGCCAGGTAGCAGCGTGGCGTACAGAAACAACGATTTTTCAACGCCACTCCATTCCAAATCTCGATTTTGCAAGCCAGCAGCGATTCACAGTGCTTTGCGCCCCTCCTAACTTTGCTTTGTTTGATTCACGCGGTTCTTTGATTACGCGTTTTGTTGCTCCTGATGTCTGGGGGCATGCTGCCCTGAACAAAGCGAAAGCATTCATCACTTTTCATTCTGCAGACGGGCTTCCCCGTCCTGCGCGCGACATTGCAACCGTGGTGCAACCCATCATGACAAGAACCTCGCAGGCGCAGGCGCTCACCTTGCAACCGCTTATTCAAAGTCAAGAACGCAATCTCTACTTGCGGTCTCTGGTCGGAGGTGCGGCAGGAAGTCGTTGTTCGCAAATTTTCCCGTGTGTGCGGCCATGGTGCACATGTGGCTTGGAGTATACGACGCCGCGCCCATATGAACACAAGCTGGGATGCATCAAATGGATCAAGCTGTCAGTTCCGTCTGTCGCTGCTGGGGCAACGTGTGGCGCAAAGAGATTACGTTGGTGTGACACCTTCGATTCAGATTCACCCAGTGTGCCGTCCTCTCCTGTGATTGCTGCTTCACCCATCCCTGCCACCTCAACTTCACCTTCTTCAAGGCTAAGTGATGAGGCTTTGTCGGACGCATCCTCGCGCCTCTTCCCGGTTTCATTGGCCAACCAACTTCTCTCTCCCTCTGACGAGTACGCGCAGGGTGCATGGGCGAATGTCTTCGTGCGTCTCCTGGCTGCTGACTGCAAAGTTGCGTCCTTTTTCCGCGCTCTACAATTTCTTTTTTCCTTGCCTACGTCACATTTGGCTCAAAGCTGCGCTGCTTTAACTCTGCAGTCCCATGCCTGGCAACATTTCTTTTCGCAACCGACCACTCACATTGATGCTTTGCCTTTCCCATGTGTTCTGGATCTCATTGTGTACCTTGAATGCGGAACGGTGTTGTTGTGGATTCTTCCCGCCGGTGATCTTTTTACTGTTGACAGTCGTTCCATCCATCCGTGCCAGCATAGCGTGACTCAATTTCCATGCGTCGCTTTTAATGCTGCAAATTCCAGATTCCTACCGGTGCGACATTCAAACCCCATTCGAGTACCGTCCTTTCCAACTTCTGCAGCTATTGGCTATCTTCAGGTGCTTCTGTTTGGCCTTGCTCCCTGTTCTCTGCCCGGCACAGAGAATCTATTCTGGTGCTTCAAGACTACGAGACTTGATTGTGTGCACCACTTGGAAACATTGCAGCACACGGTGTCTTTGTCCTTGTGCCGATGCCTGCGACCAATGGGCCGGCCTCTGTGTGGGCGAGGCCTCTCACAGCTGTGTCTCGTGCTGGCGCCGGAGCAACACGTGGATTTAATTGTTCTTGATAGCAACAGTTGCTTGTTCCACGTTTCCCCGTTTCATGCGTTTGAGCCTATTAGTTGGAGCTTCTGTCTGCGCAGACTTCTGAATCCTAACTGTTTCTTCTCTGCATTCAACCACTCCACTCAGCACTTCGTGCAAGGTTTTCTGCAGATACCAGCTTCAGAAAACAAAGCAGAATCATGGCTAGGACAGCCACAGCCAACTGCCAGAGCAGCAGTTCTAGCCCCCATTCCGATCTTGCTCGCTGACCCAGTTTTGGCGAAGCGTTTGAGCTCCGAAGGGATGCGGCGGTTTCAGCCGTGCGTGGGCGGCGCCATTTTTGCGACTCGCATGGCAAACGGCTATCCACACGACGGAACCGAGTGTGATACGATCCAGCTGTGCCCGACACCGTTCGTATTCTATACATGCCTTTCCGCGAAGAACCATCTGTGCAACCTCCTTTCCGCTTTAGGTGCGCGTCAAGCACTGCGATCTCCGCTGGAGCCAACCGTCGTAAGCGGACGCGAGACGACGACACACACTCTGCCCCCTCTGGTGCGGCTCCGCTTGGGCCAAAATCTGCCCTCATTATTAAAGAGGTATCCAAATTCTTGGCTCACCACACCCCCCCACACCAGAAAGAACAAACATGTCAGCATTTTGGGCGACCTGTTTTGGGTTGGGGGGAAGAAAGCCCCAAAAAATTTAGGAGACTTACTTAAAAGAAATAAACGTACAAAGTTTTAGGAGACCTACTTTTGGGTTGGGGGAGAAAGGGGGTAGAAGACCTACTTTGGGTTTGGGGGGGCCAAGAAAAAAAACAAAAAACAAAAAACAAAAAACAACAAAATAACAAAAAAAACAAGTTTAGGAGACCTACTTTGGGGTTGGGATGGGTTGGGGAGGGAGGGGTTAGATTCTCAAATTCGTTTTTTTTTTTTTTTTGGGTCTCGCACTTCCCAAATAGGTTTACCTTTTTTTTAGTTTTGGTTTTGTGTGTAGCAAATGGCGATGGCAGATGGTTGACATTGCAATGAGACATTCAATGAAATAGAGGAAAAAAGGTAGGCATTGGTGGGGGGGTGAGCATATATATATATAGTATATATATATATATATAGTATATATATAGTCTATATATAAAATATGTATATAAATAAATTAAATAAATAAATAAATAAATATATATATATATTCATTTACATATAGACACACACACACATATATATATGGGATGCATTTATATATATATGCACACATATACCAAAAAATTGCCTATAAGCTGGCTGGTACTCAACCGAAATGTCCCGGCCGGGCCCCCAGGATGTGGACGAATGCATCAGCGATGGCTCCGAGACCGGCTCTCGTGCTACGTCCCCTGCGCGCCTTCCCTCTGGCACCTCGCCAGACATGCGGCGTCGGGGGCTCCCCGTGCGGTCCAAGAGCGCACCCGCTTTGGCGGGCAATGGTCGCGATGAGATCGGTGGCATGAGCCTTGGAAAATATCATGTTTGTGGATTCATTTTGTGGTTTTGATGTTTTTGGATGGTATGGAGCAAAGGGGATAAATGCATGTATACATATAGACGACAAATATGTGTATGTATATATATAACATGTGATATATTACGTATTTATGGGTTTAAATTGACTAGGGGCTACCTCCCCAAATGAGTGATTTTATTTGCTCCTAAAATGACACCCCGTATTTTCAACCATGCGGGGGTGGTTTTCATCTGGATCTGACCACTGGAAACATTGATTTAACGATGGTGGTCCAGTTCATATCAGATGGAAGGAGTTCAACTTAGAATCTTGGAGATAAAATTTGCAGTACTTGGGGACGACCCACAAAAGCTCGAGTTCCAGCGGTGCTTCATGGTTAAAATTTCCCAAATTATGAAACCATATGAAACCAATGCTCTGCCTGAAATCTGCCGCTTGTTCTGAGGAACTTGTCCTTGAGTGCCCTCGCACAACGTGCCGAGCAGTTTCATACGCTTCTGCGATTGAAAGGGAAGGACCGATGGCACAGGTGATCTATGGTGATTTTGACACCTGGGGTAAACCTCGGTTGGAGAATGGCCACGCACACTCGTATATATATATATATAATATACATACGCATGCCAATGGAGAAGTATCTACAAAATTATACATATATGATATAGATATAAATATATATCAGTAGTACCGCACAAGGCGGTGGCGGAAGCTTCAAAAATAGGAAATCTATAGGAGAGGTTGGTTGTTGTGAATCACGGATGGCAGAGCGAAGCCACTGATGGACCGACAGGTGGTTGAGGTCTCCTCTCTTTCTCTCTCTCTCTCTCTCTCTTTCTTTCTTTCTCTGACTATCTACCTATCTACCTATCTACCTACCTACCTACCTATCTGTCTATGTATCTATCTATCTATCTATCCATCTATCTATCCATCCATGCATCCATCCATCTATCTATCTATCTGTCTATCTGTCTATCTATCTATCTATCTGTTTGTCTGCCTGTCTGCCTGTCTGCCTGTCTGCCTGTCTGCCTGTCTGCCTGTCTGCCTGCCTGCCTGTCTGTCTGTCTGTCTGTCTACCTGCAAGCTTGAAAATGCAAGCCTGCGAGACTTCCTCAATTTTTGAACTTGACAACGTCAAAAACGAAACAAGTTTGCGAGACTTCCTCAATTTTTGAATTTGACAACATCAAAAACGCAGCAATTCAGCGAGACTTCCTCAATTTTTTAAGTTGATAGCATCAAAAACGAAGCAATTCTGCGAGACTTCCTTCAAAAATGGAAAGCTGAGTGCAGAGCTGACAGCCTCGTGCCAATGCGTTTTGCAATTTTTCGACTCCGCCTGTCTAAATTACTGCGCCTGCCACGAAAAAGTGATACCGGGTCATACGAAGTGCTGCACCTGTCACGCAAAATCATCTCAGGAAACCTGAAGGTCTGATGCTCCAAAATGCACCCCCTCTCAGGAAATCAGTGCCCGGACGTCCTAACAGCTCTGATGAACATGTCTCTTGTAGTGCGGCTGCCACGGAAAATGCATCTTTGCAGATCCTCTTCAAATGTCCCACGCCTGCCATCATTTTTGGACATGCTACAAAACCTTCACGTTTTGCTCACTTTTGACAGGATGCACAATTCCGCGCGCTTGCCACGCGAAACGACATCTGAACGTCAAAAAGTGCTCCGAACCCCCTTCAGTTTTTTCACTTTTGACTTCGAAATGCGCTTCGCGCCACAACGGCGTGCACTTTTTCGACATCTCAACTTCCAAAGGTGGTCCGAACCTGTTTTGACTTCGAAATGTGCTTTGCGCCACAACGGCGTGCACTTTTTCGACATCTCAACTTCCAAAAGTGGTCCGAACCTGGTGTGTTTTGTACATTTTGACTTCGAAATGCGCTTCGCGCCACAACGGCGTGCACTTTTTCGACATCGCAACCTGCAAAAGTGGTCCGAAGCTGGTGTGTTTTGTACATTTTGACTTCGAAATGTGCTTTGCGCCAAAACGGCGTGCACTTTTTCGACGTCGCAACTTCCAAACGTGGTCCGAACCTGGTGTGTTTTCTACATTTTGACTTGGAAATGTGCTTCGCGCCACAACGGCGTGCAATTTGTCGTCTCTCATCTGGCCAGCTGGCTCCGCACCCGCCGCTTTAGCGAGCCTACTTTTCGACCCTCCGGAGCTTCAAATCATTGGAAAAACACAGTGCTTCGCGACTTTCCTACCTTTTCGCGCACCTGGATCTTCTTTCTTCTGAGACTTTTTCTTTTTTGATCTTCTTTCTTCTTCTCTTCTCTTCTCTTCTCCGACTCTTGCCACCTCTGCTTTTCATTTGTCCATATTGTCGGAAGTTTGACTTGTAAATTTCCTTCGCCAAAAACATATATTCAAAATATACACATATCGCTGAGGAAAAATGTGCTGCTGTACAGTACCAATGGTAGCCTGAATGATATCTTTCTGGACGTCTATCTAACGTTTGCCCAGGTTGTTCAAGCAACCCTCTCACGTGCCTTCTGACAGTCTGCTGCGGGAAATCCCTATTTTTAGTTGGCCGATTTTCCCATGAATTCCATTAAAACGCTGGGCATTTCCCAGCCATGTTCGGTGCCCATCGTTTGGACGCTTGGCTGGACCAAGACCGTGTCCTGCAGGAAGAATTTTCAGAGATGCCATCACCACAAGGCCGCCGACTGTCTTCATGTTCCGAAGCCTGGCTGTATGGTTTGGTGGAAGGCAGTTTTGGGATGGTTGGTTTTGGGATGAGGTTGCTCTGTTGGCCTATATGTGGATGTTAAACTAATATGAATGCGGTGTGTAACTACTACAAAATTGTTTTGTATTTTTTTCTCACTGGGGTTTATGGTTCGATGTACCTGTGGTTGGATCGGTTAATCATTGATTTAAATTGATTTATTGAACGCACTTCTGACGGCGGGAACCACAAACCGACGGGATGCTTCACCACAACTCGGGCCATTTTGAGTAATCAGCCTCGCGAACAGAACTGCACCTGACTGCACCAATGGGTTAAACCATTCGGAAATTGTAGCTCTGGAATAGTGAACCTAAAAACGGGTTGTGATTGGATTTTTGGGTCCCATGTTTCTTCTCAGTGGCGGTTCCACATGTGAAAAGCCTCCAATGTGGTACAGGAACTCAAAAACAATATGTGGATGGTTTAGAAAGGTTATAATGGAAAATCTCATTAAAATCCCAATTTCGAGAGTCGGTAAACTTCAACCTTCAAACTTTCAAACGGTGAGCATTTGCTATGTTTTATTGTTGGGGTTGCCGTATCAAACAACCGTTTTGCATGCTTATTCCTTTCTTCCCAATCTGCAACCTTCACCCGAAGCGGATAAGTCAGCGGTTCATATTTGAGGGTAAAACCATCAGTTTTCTGTATCTTCCAAACGCATTTTTTTTGATGTTTTACTGTAGGTCTTCTGCAGATTCTCCCTTCAGTTTTCCCCTGTTGGTTTTCGTGCCTTGCTCAGATTCTCCCGTAAGTCAATCGAAGAAACCCATTTTCGAAGCCAAGATCATAGCTGCCCAAGGAAAGCTCTACCGATGTGATGAGCCTCGTAGCTCGGTGGATTCAGTGTTGAGTCATTACACTGGTGGGATGAGGTGCACAGACAGACCTCATGCATAGCGTTAAATTTCAATAGATTTCGGATAAATTACGCTCGTCAATTCTCGATGGGAGCTTTCAACCCGCGCCTATGATAGATACCTTCCCCTTTTTTGTTGCGTGTTTTTTCTAAATTTCTTACAGCGATGTCCAAGGGTAAGCCTGTGGCGTCCCACGAGCTCCCACGAGTTACCAGGCCAGCGGAGATCCAGGCTTTGTCCGAAGCATCAGCACGATCAGCAGCAACACCATCAGCACTCCGTGCTCCGTGGGAAGTGCGGGACATCCAGACCTCTGCCGACGTCCATGCATGCGCCCACCCAGATGGGACTGGGACTGGGAGGATGAGCAAAAACTGATGGGTCAAGATCTACACTCTGACATTATGTTTGTATATTTTGTAATGTTTTGTACTTGATACCGTGATATATCATTTTAGAGCCTGATGAAGGGATTCACTCGACAACTGCTTCCGTTGGGGGTTGTTCCAGAGCCATCAATGGTATAGCGAAGGTATAGCTCGGCCACCAGATGCCACACTGATTGAGACATACTTGCCAAGTGTGTAGCGCCAACCTGGCCAAATAAAACATATCAAATGTATATAAAATCATATGAAGCCATATGAAGCCACTTGTATATAAAGCCACCCTTGGTGTTTTTGCTGTTTCCACATGTTCCACGGGTTCCACTTGTACAATTCCCGCAGGTACTTTGCCGCCGGGAAATGCTCCAATGGGGCGGCATGCGATTATTGCCACATGAACCACGACGGACGTACTATGCATTTGGACAAGAGGCCTGGGCCCAGTGGTCCCTGTCACCAGTGGTCACAGTGGTCACCAGTGGTCACCAGTGGCCACCAGTGCTCACCAGTGGTCACATTATTTTGCTGCCAGGCAGCGGGAATTTCTGAGCAAGATCCCCAACGAGAAGTTCTTGGCCTTGATTTTGCACTACTTGGAGGCAGCTTTTGTTCCAGCGCGATAGCGAAGAATGGCTGTTTGTTTCAAGAGAGAAGAAACCTACGACCTACGACCTACACACAAACAAATACATATAAAAAAAATCGCAATGTATCATGTATTGAACAAAGCATCAATCTCAAAGCCGCACCCTTTCATGTCGTAAGCCAAATCACCTCCCCAAGCTGGGGTTCCAGGCCAAGGCGAATGACAACGGTTTCCGATCGGCCGCGTGCCTCGGCGGCACAGATTCCGAGAAATTCGCCATTTTTCCACAGGACCTCAGCTGTCAGATCAGATCTGTGGTCTTCCCCGAACCGAGGAACGAACTGCTCCAACTTCTTCGCGGCTTCGCGCACCTTGCGTCGAATGAACCCATCGTGCTGCCCGAGCTGCCCACCAAGATGTGGTCCAAGCTGGTGGGGATCTAAGGGCCATGCGAGCTTGATGGCCTAGTTTTTATAGAGTGGGAAGAGGGGGGTAGGGTGGTAGATCCAATCAGAAATCAGTTGCGATGATTTAGACCAGAAATGCGTGGGATTTCAACCATCCCAATTGGAGGAATGTGGCGAAGGGTTTTTGGGACTTTCTTCTGTAGTGGCAGAAGCAGTGGGTAAATGATGGACGGCAAACTGTTTCTTGCCAGCCGAGCTCTTTCCGTTTTGAAGGGAAACTACCTGACCACCACTTGAGGCCGTTGTTTCTTCCAACCGCCTTTCACGCCTGCCAGGGTCTAAAATTCGATTCCTGGAAAGTACGGCCAGGATCCTATGATAGGAGGGAGCCAATTTCCAGCAGCATTGTCATGCCAGGACTATATGCTAAAGAAGATGACTTTCCAGTCACTCGTGAGCTTGGCTATGCTTCTTGGCTGAACAGGGTAACCGGGTACTGCGAAAATGGAGCTCCTTTGCTTACAACACCCCCCAGGTCTTCCATTTTTTTGTCCATGGCCAATGGGGCCCCGCCCTGTGAAATCTCGGAGGAAATCCAATTCCGGCAGCGACTTCGCGGATCAGATGTCGGACGCCATGTCCCGCATGCGGCAAAGTCTTACCCAATGAGTCCCTTGGTGTCAGATGTGCCCGTTGGGGCCAAAAAGTAGGGGTTTATGGTACGTTCATCCCTTTTTGATGGGATTCATACGGATTTCTACGGAACTCTTTGCAATCGTCAATCTAACAGTTTGCGATGGAAAATGCCCATGGACATTTCTTTCGTAAATCATCCGCTTTCATGGGTCATTTTCTCTTGAAACTGAAGAACATCATGTGGAAATTGTATGACCGTGGCGTTTTGATGCATGACATTGATGTGTTTTTCTTCAGGGGCATCTAAGACTCCAAGATGTGTTGTTGGTTTGCGAACCCCGTTTACTATGTCACACATACGCATGCCTGTGTTTCCACCAGATTTGCTAAGAATGAATCGCCACCACAACTATTCCATCCCTACTTAACTTAATTCGCATCTCTACTTAAACAGTTAACGTATAATGCCTCTCCCCATTCATACTAACGAAAACATGGTGGATGTAGGGGATCTGCATATAATTTGAGACCCAGCTGTGGTGTGTGTGTTATATGAACGGGGCATGAAATTATTTGTTGGTTAACGTCCATTAATCACTATCAACGACAATTGAATCTCATTAAATCCCATTGAACCACCATTAAATCCCATTAAATCACCATCCCAGGCATGCACTGTCATGTGGCCAGGTTTGAAGGCCGAGCGCCTTGCTTGACCACGATTTCTCTTGTGTGATGTCTGGGTCTCAACACCTGGGGTGTCGAGTGCTGCGCCCACGTTCAAAAAGGCATCAAACAGCTGAGGAGAGAAATGGATTTAAGAATGAACACATGTGTATTTACAAGGGTTCATTTTGGTCAGCAAATGGCGACGGAAGCATCAAATAGATGAATATTTACGCCTACGCCGAAAAATGTAGGCTTTGGCGACTTTGGCACCAATGGAGGGCACGCATGAGCCACATTTGGGTGATTTGTTTGGATCTCAGGCTATCCAACTAATTTTATTGTTGAAAAGGACCAACAAAGTTGGACATCTTATAGAAAAACAACAAGGAGAGCAAGAAGAATAACAACAAAAGAAGAACACGAAGCGAAACAAAAAGAAGAACAAGAAGAATAGCAATAAGTACAACAAGAAGGATAGCAAACAGAACAAGAAGAAGAATAATGAGGAGAAGAACAAACAACAAGAAAAACGAGAAGAATGACAACCAGAAGAGCAAGAAAAACAACAACATGATCAAGAACAACAATAAACAGAAGAATAACCAGAAAAAAGACAAAAAAAAGAACAAGAACACGAACCATAAGAAAAGAAGAAGAAGAAGAAGAAGAAGAAGAAGAAGACGAAGAAGAACACAACCACAACCACAACCACAACCAGAACCAGAACCAGAACCAGAGCCAGAGCCAGAGCCAGAACCAGAACCAGAACCAGAACCACCACCACCAGCACCAGCACCAGCACCAGAACCAGAACCAGAACCACCACCAGAACCAGAACCAGAACCAGAACCAGAACCAGAACGAGAACCACCACCACCAGAACCAGAACCATAACCAGAACCAGAACTGAATAGTGGGTTTTCCCATGTCCATCCCCTTGGCAAAAATGAAGCGCCACTCCAGAGGGGTGTGCTTCACGCATGCACGATGATGTAAGAACCAGAACCAGAACCAAAACCACCACCAGAACCACAACCAGAACCAGCACCAGCACCAGCACCACCAGAACCAGAACCAGAACCACCACCAGAACCAGAACCAGAACCAGAACCAGAACCAGAACCAGAACCAGAACCACCACCACCACCAGAACCAGAACCAGAACCAGCACCAGAACCAGCACCAGCACCAGAACCAGCACCAGCACCAGAACCAGAACCAGAACCACCACCAGAACCAGAACCAGAACCAGAACCAGCACCAGAACCACCACCAGAACCAGAACCAGAACCAGAACCAGAACCAGAACCAGAACCAGAACCAGAACCAGAACCAGAACCAGAACCAGAACCAGAACCAGAACCACCACCAGAACCAGAACCAGAACCAGCACCAGAACCACCACCACCACCAGCACCAGAACCACCACCAGCACCAGCACCAGAACCGGAACCAGAACTAGAGCCACCACCAGAACCAGAACCAGAACCAGAACCACCACCAGACCCAGACCCAGAACCAGAACCAGAACCAGCACCAGAACCAGCACCAGAACCAGCACCAGAACCAGAACCAGAACCAGCACCAGAACCACCACCAGCACCAGCACCAGAACCACCACCAGAACCAGAACCAGAACCAGCACCAGCACCAGAACCACCACCAGCACCAGAACCACCACCAGAACCAGAACCAGAACCAGAACCGGAACCAGAACCAGAACCACCACCAGAACCAGAACCACCACCAGAACCAGAACCAGAACCAGAACCAGCACCAGAACCACCACCAGAACCAGAACCAGAACCAGAACCACCACCAGAACCAGAACCAGAACCAGCACCAGAACCACTACCAGCACCAGAACCACCACCAGAACCAGAACCAGAACCAGAACCAGAACCAGAAGCAGCACCATCAGCAGCACCAGCAGCAGCACCACCAGCAGCACCAGCGCTAGCACCAGCAGCAGCACCAGCAGCAGCACCACCAGCACCACCACCAGCAGCACCACCACCACCAGCAACAGCAAAAACACATCTGGTTCTTTTGAAATAGAGCTAACTCAGTTGAACCAAAAACCCTGTGATTTTCACTCCCTTGATTCTTTTAAGTCCCAACGTTCCAACGGTTTCGGCTCAGGCACATCTTACCGGCTTCCCATTCGTGCACTCCGGCGACGGGGAAAGGAGGTGATGAGCTGCTCCAAGAACTTCAAAGGGTGCCAAAATCGCTGGAGTTCGGTGAATTTTCTCCCGACAGTTCCCTTCTGTCGTCCCAAAGAAATTGCTCATTTAGGGGGTAAGAATGAATGGAATGCTAATCATTGTGACAGAAAGAGTAGGGATCATCGAGGGGGTGTTTTTGAACCATAGTGTTCCCGGAATGCTGACCAAAATGATGCCAAACAGCAAATAGGGTGAAAACTACACCAAACACGTGAAATACATGTGTAGACATCCATGACATTTTTTGAAATGGATTGTAGGCATCTCCTGAGTCGATACTTCTGGGAGATAATCTTGAACAAATTGGTACCGGGTAACTTTACAGTTGAACCAGTTCTGAGAGTCGCAGCACCTCCGAAACCCAACCCCGGGGAAACAGGCTTCTCCGCACATCTCTGCACGCTTTGGGGGGCTGGGTGTTTCCTGCATCCGTTTGAGTCTAACTCATCTAACTCCGTTGTGATGTGTCTTCACATCAAACTTTCTTTGGCCGGACTGAGTTGAGTTCGTCCTTGGCCAGGTTCCACAAGTTCCTTACACGAGTTTCCGTAGAAAGAGAGCAAGGAAAATCAAAAAGTTGGATCATAGGTACGGTATGCCGATATTGGATCTTTCAGTGTTTTGGATGTTTTTGGCTAGATTTTCAGCTAGTGAAGAACTTTCTAGTACACTTTTCTGGTTGACCTTCAGCTGTGTCGACACAAAAACATGTGTTGCACGCACAGCACGGACGACCTGATTTCCATCTCCGCTGGTGCACATTTGAATCACTGGAGTGCTGGCTTTTCAGCAGCCCCCAAGGAATCTTTGGTACCGGCGCAGCGGGTTGCCTTTTTATCACGGCTGGGGCTTTTTCGCGGCACCCGGGAACACCAGGTGTGCCAGCCATTCTCACTCTCCCAGCCCCAGACCGAGGACGCAGTCTTTTTATCAACGGTTTCCTGTTTCGCGCGCGCACTTGAGAAGCATCTTGTGCGGTGTATAAACGACGGCTGCTACAATCAAGACATGAAGTAGCAGTAACAGTCGGTATTAGATTTTTGCACGACGACCACAGGCTCACTGCATGACCTGCACGGCATCCCCGGTTCCTAGAAAGGATTTGAGCAGTGGGTGATCAAGGTGTCACAACTTGTCATCCCATGGGAAAGGTGGAACGACGTGGCTGACGGCGATCCGGACGAAACATGTCAAACATATTATGCCACTTAATGCCATATCCTGACCGGGCCTGTCTTGAGTATCAAGGGCCGTGTCAGTCCAAAATTCCGCTGTGTCCAAGCAAGTTTCTGGGACAGCTCTTCGAATGGCAACTGGCAGCACCCCGACTTGCAAAAATCAAGAGGAGGTACCTCAAAAATGGGTTAAAATGGGCCTAGTTCCAGTTTGGGAGTTGCCATAATTTTCCCAGATCCACCAAGGAGAGATTCGTCGTAGCAAGAGTTGCTATTCGAATTGTTCCGCTGTGGCGACCGCCGCAACAAGTGGAACAAGGTTCCTTGCTCCCTAACTGGCACACGGTGGTGCGACTGGCACTTTGCCACCCCATTTTCGCCGCTTGCTCGGCAAGCCGAATTCGTCTCGTTGGGCCTGCTTTGGTCTCGTGCGAACAACTGCGACAGTGCAGTTGCCATGTCTCTTAGAAGTCATGCGAAATCTTCTGGAGAATGTGAACGATGAAAAAGAAGAGCTTAATGTGGTAAACCCACTGCCGAAGACTCCAACTGGGGATTGTTGACATGTACCACCGATGTCTGGCAAGTCATTTTGGGTTGATTGTCGCGTGGAAAAAGGAGGTCGTGCTTTGGAATATCCCCTGGACGTGAAATCAGATGATTGCCAAAGGATCGTCTAGAGCTAGAGATGATTCCACGCCCAAACATCCACAAACATCAAACATCCATAAATCATAAACATCACCTACGCACACACACACATATATATAATATCTAAATTTTAGTAAGAAAGCAACAATGGAAGATGAATTTTCAACTCACATGATTATCCCAGCTGATCAAAACGGGCATAGTTCCAAGAAGGGAAACTGAGGATGAATTATGGGAACATGCTTAAGTATATAGAGAAAATGATGGTAAACCAATAGAGACAATGGGATACATATGGATACATTATTTTCAGTAAAACCCTGGAATATCCCGTTATTCTGCATGTGGCTTCACCTCGGCCTTCGCCATTTTCACCATGAATCGCCTTTCCGCGCAGCTCATTTTGACAGAGGGGGGGGGGCTTCGGCCAACGCCGAGCAGACGCCTGACTCAATCTGGCGCCACCGGGACTTTGTCCTGATACTTATTATAGAAACTCAAAGATAGAAAAGTAAAATCCATCTTTTTCGGAGTTACTATACGTACGTATAAGTGCACACGCACACATGCACAAATACACACATGCACAAATACACACATACACACATACACATATACACACATATACACACATATACACATACACATACATACATACGTACGTACGTACATACGTACATACGTACATACGTACAGACGTACAGATATACAGACAGACAGACAGACATACAGACATACAGACATACAGCCATACAGCCATACAGACCGACAGACCGACAGACCGACTGACCGACTGACCGACAGACCAACCGACCAACCGACCGACCGACCGACAGACACACAGACACACAGACACACAGACACACATACACACATACATACAGACAGACAGCCAGCCAGCCAGACAGCCAGACAGACAGATAGACAGACATACATACATACAGATACACACACTTGCTCAGAAATATCTTATCGAATTACTGATGTGGAATGCATCATACGTGCAAAAAACACGTCAGTAAACCTGACAGGAACGGTTTTGATGATTAGAAATGAGAAACGGTGCGAAGGAAGTCTTTCAACGTCCTTGCTCGAAGGATCAATTGGTTCTGATGCAGCTCTTTCAGATTGCGAAAACCTTGCAAACAAGAAAATGAAAACAGGTTGTTTGGAAACGGCATGGTGGTTCTTGGGTTATCCACGTCCCATTTCAGAAATGAAATGAAAATAGCAGGTACGTCGATGAGCGTCCCCATCGATATCACAGATGACACACTGGCGTCTTCGTTGGTGCCAGTCCAGTGTGCATCCCTGGCACCCCCTGCCGTTATTGGACAAAATTGAAACCAAACTGCTACTGAAGTAGAAGAAAAAACCCTCGAAGCAAAATCACCCAGCAAGTTAGAAGTTCTACATCTTTTCAGATGTTCCACACACACGCCTCGCTGCTGCGAGGCTTTTTTAACGATGTCGAGAAAGCTCGTGAAGCTCTTATCTAGGCCCTGAAGCAGGAAATAGCCATTGACGCAAAATCAAAACACAGGGATGAGATCTGCATTTGAATTATCCGGTAGGCTCAGAACGACATCGGCAGGAAGTTCAGGTGTCTTTAGTCATCGATGTCCGACAACGCTTCCATGGTCGCCGTCTGTTGAGAAAGAACTTGAGCTGTCACGGCCAAGTGGCTAGCAAGGTGAGCCAAGTCTGTTGCCGAGAAGACCTGGACCGGATTTGTGCTCAAGTCATCTCCCGGATTCTCAAGCTTCTCGAGGATCGCAGCATTGGATTCCCTGTCATTGTTAAGAATGTCCCAAAGGACTGAAGCCAGTTGGTGGATCTGACTTGGTACCGATGCCATGCCAACATTGGCGATGATGGAGTCAGTTTCGTCCATCTCGGAGCCCGGTAGAGATTCCTGGTTTTGGTCAGGCTGATCAGCATTGTCAGGCGATTGTGGGTGATGATGCCATGAGTATGGCTCATATTCCACCTCAGGAATATTGAAGTGCCGACGCCAGTAATTGGCGAGATAGGTTGATTGCTGCCATGAGTCGATCCATCCATAGCGGTCGGCACGAATGTGACCAACAATCCCGTTGAAGAAGAACTCCGGTTGACGATTGCGCTGGGCACCGTGACAATCCACTTCCGTCACCATGAGGCGTCAAACTCCCGTTTGAGGAGATAGAACTTCCGTGAAAATGTGAGTATGGAGTGTTCGATACTGTCGTTGGATTTTCGTCTGGAGTGGGTAGGCTTCTTCAGCTGACGGCTGTGGTAGAGCCTGATGGGATGAGTCATCGGGTAGAGGAACGGATTGAGATGGTGCTGTATATCCGTACGGCGACGAGATGCTGCTAGGAGTACTTCCAGAGAAAGATGGTAAGGTCAGGTCATCGCTGATACTGCTGGGATGAGGTCTTTGGCCGGAGGATGTAGCACCACTACTGGATTGGCCTTCAAGTCGAGGGTGGCGACGTGGCATGCTCATCGGTGCTGGAGGTGAGGTGAAACCGGCGAGACAGGAATCACGCTTGGTCATGATAAAGCTGAAGCCAAGGGCTGAGGGATATTACATGGAGAGGTAGAAAGAACAAATAAACCATGGGAAGGAAGGAACGAGGGTTGGATGATGAAGCAAAAAGCAATGGACCTTTTTATCCGCCTTATGGAAGCATGTTGCGGTTTGGGAGGGCCTCATGGCAGCCCATGCGCATGATATAGGGCTGATAGTGAGACGTGAAATATCGAATATTGTTCGGAAATAAAATACCGAATTCTTGGCCCTCAGTCCAATGAGGACGAAATTCATGAAGAAGTTCAACAAGGCGGTCCTCGTTGCGGAGAGCGAAAGTGTCTCCAGTCTCATCTTGCCACCGGATGTCCATGGAGGATGGGGGAAGATAGCGGTCCCACGTGTACCAGATGTGTTGGCTGATGCAATAGAGCAGGTTGTACACCGTGAATGATTCAAGACGGTGGGTGTTAAGCAAGACGTTGTAGGTGAACAGGGCACGTTCTTCATTCCTGCTAAGGTTGGGTAGCACATCACAGGTCGTGGCGTCCGTGACATCATCATGGATTTTGTTCATAAGTGGACGTACTGGTTCGAGGTCCACAATGACAAGTACTTTGCGAAGACGAGGAGCAGGAGGTGTCTC